TTTGATCTCATCCAATCATATTAAACCAAATGATTAAAAATTTTAAAAAAAAAGCTATTAGCAGTCATTGAAGAATATAATATGCTAGAATTATTCAATTTGTTTATCTAATCTTTTTTAGATTTCAATATCAATTCTTTAATTTTTACATTTCTGGATTTGTAATGCACAATAATAGTTTTGATTGAGTGCATATTTTAATTGCTACATCATTTTCCGTTATTCAAGTCACATGATCATAAAATTTTGATTCGTTAATTTTTCTCTCTCTCACACACCTTTCTTTGCTTTTACTCATCTCTCTTTCCCATTTCATTTTTTTTCCGCTAATCATAAACGATCCGGGAAGTTTCTCATGAAAAATATTTTTTGTTATCAGTGTTACGGATGAAAAAGAAATAATGAATAATTTTAATCGAGGAATTACAACAAAGTCAATAAATAATAATCACAATTAAAAACTTGAAATATGATCCGAATGTCAATAAGATATATATATATATATATAAAATTGCTTCATAATTGACATTTAATGATTATCATTTTTACTAGATATTTATATGAAAACAATCCAAAATATTCATGTTTAACATTAACTTGTTAATGAGTGGCAATTTCTTAAATATCATTGATAATTATAGCTTCTAAAAAAATAATTCTAATTTATATAAGTGCATTGTTTTGTTGTCATTTTTGCTATAGTATTTCTGAAAATATTAAATATTATGTTAGGAGAAATTAAATTTTCAATTAGGAAGAATACATGAAGTTTTCACTTTTGTTTTTTAATTTTTTTTACATTGTAATTATTGTTTACTTCACTTCATAATTTTTATTTAAATAATCATTATTTACATGTATGATGATAAATCATTTGACATTAAAATTACTTCAAAATAAACAAAAAGATTGTAATGCATTGTTAACGGTGAAATTTTTAATCAAATTAATCTGAGCAAATCATTAACAATTGGTAACATTGATGATTTATTAACTAATCAGTGTTTATCATTCTATCATCCAAAATGACAATGATGATTTGATTCAAAATCAATTAATCTTGAAAGAAACGGTATTAATGATATTTATCAATAATAATGAGCTATCATATTCGTTTAGCAAGTTTTTTCTTTCTTTTTTTTTCTTTTTTTTTATTCAATTTACTAGATGATCTTAAATTGGCACAAAGTTTTACAATGGTATTTTTTCCTAAGTATTGAAATTTTAATTATGTTAATTTTTCTTTCTTCTTCGTCCTTAGAATATTTTGCATAGATTGAAATTGAATTATCAAATGGCATCATATTGAACAATTTTTAATTTATTTGAAAATTACACCAAATTAATTTGAATTTATGCATTTTTGAATAATTATTGACAAAACAAGAAGCAATAATTGCTTGATGAAAAAAAAAAAGAGGCAAAGAAACTCAATTAAATTTTTAACAAATATTTTGCAAACCATTATTTATGGACTAGGGCAGTAATATTTTGAACTTCATATCAAGTAACAAACATTTCTTTATTGATCAGTGGTGTATTGTTTATCTTTCCTACATTTTTGTATAAAATAAATTATACATTTTCAAATGCATAGAGTGCAATTTTAATATTTAGATTTTTGATCTTTTACAGGCATTCATTCTCATAAGGTTTATGCAAATATGTTAGGAAAATGCTAGATTAATTTTGATTTTTTAAAAATTTTTTTTAAAACACAAAGGCATTTTTGAAAAAAAAAAAATGAGAATATCGAAGTTAAACAAATGTGAAATTTGATCATTTTGTCTTCATATTGTCTTTTGCAAAAAGATGAAAAATTTATGAAAAATTTTATATGAAAAATTGAAAAATTTCTTTTTTTTCAGAAATGAATTTAGTTAGATAAGAGCATGATACACAGTGTGACATGCAATTGTAAGTTATACTCTTTAAATAATCATTAACTTAAAATATATTACTTTTCTTATGCTATATATTTTACTGTTAATTTTGCAACTATATTATTTTCTGGTATTTTGCATAATTTAAAATTTTGAATTTGCTAAAATATTTATATTTGTTTTACCAGTTAATTTATCAGAATTATTTCATCTTTCAACGTTTTATAACTTTTTAAACGCACTATATTATGGATAGGAAGAAAAAATAATTTTCATTGATTTTCATTTTTTTTCTAATGTAAAATGTAACTTTTAACTTCTATATCGAGTATGTTGAGAAGTCTACATTTCAATTGCTTAAAATAATAAATTCATTTTTTTATTACTCAAAGTGTTTTGATAATTCATTTTTAACAAAATCCTTATGATTTTTTTCGTTTGTTTATTTGCTATTATACATGTGAAACTATGCATATAAATGAACAATTCCATTCATTTTACAATCCGAAAAAGTATTATTTTTTTAGGAAAGATTAAAAGTAGTTTCAATATATTGTTGCTAGTTGGAATAAGTTAAAAGTATTACATGCTTTTGCTGATAATGCAGGTAAAACTTTTCAAATGAAATTAAAACAAAAATTTTTTACAAATTTATCTGACTGAGTAAATTTAATAATACAAGCACAAAATTTATTTTTTTAGTTGTACTGAGATCTCGGCGAAAGTTGATGTAGAAAATTCGTAATTTTTAAAATATTTCAAAATTTTAGTGTCATAAAAAATTTTTGTCATTATATATGTTAATGATAAAATTTTCAATCTGAAAAGAATATTAATTTTTAAAAAACTAACTTTTTAAACGCACTTCTCTGTCGATATTTCACTTCCTCCATATTTGGAAAATGTCTGAAACATTAGATCAAGACAAAATAATTGAAAAAAAATGCGTTTAAACACTGTTAAATTAGTAAATTTTTTGAGAAGTGAAAATTAGCTATTTTTTTTTTCCTTTTTCTTAAAAAAACTCAACATGCTACTGTTTTACTAAATGACGTTTTTAATTATGTAAAACGACATACTGACAAATAATTCACTCGTTGAAATTATTTATATGTCTAATCAAATTCCAATATGTCATTTTTTTTTCAATCTTTTGTTTAAAAAAGTGCATGATTTCTCGTTTCTCTTTTTTTTGTGTCATTTGGATTAAATTGAAAAATATTGGAAGCATTTTTCTTGATGAGTGTTGTTATGAAATAAACAAATCTGAAATTATATTTATGGTGAAAATAAAAGAGGGAAAATTTGTTAAATGTTTAAATGAGAAATGATAATTTAGGTGTACAAATATTTTTTACCCAAATTGTATTCTATATTTCTTTTTTTTTTTGTTTAATGATGTTGTTGTTGACAATTGTGACATAAAAGGAGAAAAAAAAGCGATAGGATGGTAGATCAAATAGCCTACAAGTGAGAAGTGGGAAAAAAACTGAAGTGTAAACCGAAAAACAATGAAATTTCAAAAAAAAAAAAGTACCTTAACTAAATAAAAAATTTTGATCATTTTATAGATGCTGACTGCAGAAATGAATGCAAAACAAAAAATAAATTAAATTAAAATTCTGTCAAGGAAAGAGAAAAAGCTAATGGAAAATAAAACTAAAGTTAGTAAATGAAAATGTCTCATCTTTGTTTATTTTGTTTTTTACTTTTTATTTATTTATTATTATTCACTTTTTTATTTTCTTTTTGAAAAACAAAATTCCATATTGTTAATCTTGATTAATTATGATCATGAAATCATTTGCATGTAAAAATGATGATATACTTCCAAATATATTCACTTTTATCAAGATTCAGCTTTAACAATTTTGCTCCTTTTCTCTGCTTTAAAGTGAGGGGAAAAAGTTTGATAATTGGGAAGAGTATGCATACCATTAATTAGATAATAATAATAATGATGAAATAAAAGAAAAAGAAAGAAAAGTGGATAAAAAAGAAATGATAGCTAGCTGAACCATTCTAGCTATACGATTTAAGTTAAAGTTAATAAATGATACGAAGGTTGTCTTTATCATGAAATTATGACTTTTTGCTCCGTATGCCCTTTTTTGTATAACCCATAATAATAACTATAATCAACGAAATTTCCTTCACTTCTTTAATACTGGAATGTTTTATCTTTTATTAATGAATGAATAAATCAAATTCATAATCAAGTCAAATTTCTGTTCCTGAACAATATATTAAGTAAGGATTTTTATGCTTGTTTTTTTCCTTTCGAAATAAAATTCTTTAATCATGGTAAAGTTTTATGACAACGGGTAGGATGGCAAACGAATTTTTGATTATCACAGATGTAATACCCTCACATAGTTAATTAGTGCAAAATAAAAATTTTCATATCGTCTCAGGTGTTTCATTTCACGGACTGCCTTTAATAATCGATTTGAAATTTCGACATTTTTGGGAAAGTGAGAGTGGGTGCGCACGAACAGGATTGCTTGAGTTGGGAGGATGGAGTAGGTGACGTGAAGCGAGATGGTTTGATTCATTATCCATATATGTGTTACATATATGGAAATGACATTATTTTATGTGTGTGTTTCATGTGAAAATGGTTTAGAATGAAGTTTCATGAAATTCCCATACTACGCTTAGTATTTTACAAGTATAGATTATTTTCATACATGCGTTTTAAATTGCAGGCCAATAACTTAGCTGTTATCGATTTTGATTACTTACACCCTTTTATTTATCAGTAATCTTTGTGAATATCAACTTTAAATTCTCAGAATAAGGAGACTGCTTTAGGTAAATGTATTCAGATTTTAATGTAGTAGTTGTAAAATGACGAAATAATATCCGATTTTTGGGATGTGAATTAGCGATATTCATTGGAAGATTTGGAGAAGCGTAATTGGTGTGATACTTACTTTTTTAACTCACGTGGTGATAGGGTTGATATCAAGCAAATTGAAATGGTTCCTACAAGTTTTATGATCGGTGCTATTTTGAAATTCTCCTGTTAGACAATTGAGATTGAGTTTGGATATGTATTTTTTTAGGTTTTGCCCTGCTTTACTGTCGCTGTAGAGACCTGACGAAGCAACTGTGATGAATCGTGGTAGTGGTCGTGATAAATTGTAGGTGTTGCTTAATACAAAATTTAATATAATAGTCTTTTGAAGATGATGTGATCCCGCAAAATATAATTGTTTGTTTGCAGTGGTGGTGGTGGTAGTCGAAGCTTTGGTAGCCGAGGTGCTGGCAGCAATAACAACCGAGGAGGAATGGGCAATCGAGGTGGTCCACGTAGCTTTAGTGGTCGTGGTGGTGGGCTAAGTAGTGGTGGCCGTTTTGGTGGTAGCTTCGGCGATAGAAAATATGATTTCGGTAATAACTTAAAGTCCCATTTTTCTATTTTATATATTTACATCGTCATCAGCTCACACTGATTATATGTTCACATATAAGAATATGTAGCATCCCTAAGTATAATAGGTTTTAAGATGTTGAATTTTAGGAAGTCGTAGCGCTTCTGGTGGTAACAGCCTTCGCCCAATCGATTGGAGTCGTGAAAATCTTCGACCGTTCGAAAAGAACTTTTATCGTGAACATTCTGCCGTCATGCGTAGGGAACAGGTTCGTCTTTCTATGGTATAAATAAGTTAAGGTTGTGGAAGAAAGATGGGATCAATGGGGAATTTGTGAAACAAAATATTGTCATATAATGTTAATTGCTTTTAACTGGATAAAAATATTTGTCGTCGCTTCGCATATGGCAAATTATGGATGTAATAAATTGTAGATATAATTTAAGAGCTTGAAGTTGTCTAACTGTTGCTTGAAATTTATAATTATTTTCAGGTTGAAATAGACAGATGGTTTACGGATAATCAGGTTACTGTTGAGGGGAACGATCTTCCTCGTCCAGTTTTTGATTTTAAGGAAGCTGGTTTTCCTCAGGTTCTCACAGATATGCTTTTTGCAAATTTCCAAAAGCCAACAGTTATTCAATCAATATCATGGCCAATTGCATTGAGTGGTAGAGATATGGTTTCAATTGCTAAGACCGGTTCTGGAAAGACTTTCGCGGTACTTACCTTTTTAGTCTCTGAAGTTCGGAACATCTGATTAAATGGTTTTTCATATGTTATTTATCTTTGATGTGGAATTATACTAAAGCCTCTCCGTTTTTCAAATAGTGGAGTTTTTTCAGTTCATTCTTCCGGCAATTGTTCATACAATTAATCAACCACCGCGAGGCCATCAGAAAAGTCCATCAGTATTAGTGCTTTTACCAACCAGGGAATTGGCTCAGCAGGTCGAAGAAGTGGCTAAAGATTACTGCAGGGCAACAGATCTCTTGATAACATGTTTGTTCGGTGGTGCACCAAAAGCTACACAGGCTCGCGATCTTGAACGAGGTTCAGATTTCCTTGATTTTGCTTGGCAGGGTTTTGAACATGTCCTGTCGTAATGAAAGCCATGCACTATGAAAATGTTTTAAGTTATTCAACCGTTATAGGTGTTGATATCATAATTGCGACACCAGGCCGTTTAATGGATTTCTTGGAAATAGGTAAAACCGATCTTCGGCGATGTACTTATCTTGTACTTGATGAGGCTGATCGAATGTTAGACATGGGATTTGAACCTCAAATTAGGAAAGTTGTATCACAGATCAGAGTAAGCTTTCATTTGGCTCTACTGTCAGTTAACATTTGCTATCATCAGGATTGCTTTGCTCGGAAACATTTTGAAGTTATATAATTTCAGCCCGATCGGCAGACATTAATGTTTTCGGCAACTTGGCCAAAAGACGTTAGAAAACTAGCGATGGACTTTTTGACGGATGCCGCACATCTGAATGTCGGTTCTTTGGAATTATCAGCAAATCATAATATAACACAAATTGTTGAAATTATTGATGAGTCGAACAAGCAGCAGCGTCTCATGGCTATTCTTAGTGACATTATGAATAAGGTATCATTTTATAACTTGGATAATTATATCTTATATTGATATGCCCTATAAAGCTGTATGTAGATATTTATTTTAATGAAAGAAGTAAGCAGATGTGCATTTTTGTTTGTAGTAAGCTTTCACTTTTTTTTTATTTTTTTTTTGTAGCTCTCGGTTTCATGCGAAGTCTACTTGTCTCCTGAGTACAATAGTGATTGAAAATAGAGAGCCAACAGATAACGTGAGATTCTCGGTTACATGCAACATAGAGAGTAGATTGTAACACCTACGGGTTATGCATCAGTAGTAATTTGTGAATTTTGTAACTTCTAACTGCTTCGCAAAGATTGAATGTTGCTGAGGAAGATCTTAGTCGTTTTTAAAGGAGTCGAAGAGCACACCAACAGACAACTACAAAGGAAATGCATGGCGAAATAATAGCCAGGTTCGAATATCGTGTTCATCAGATGGAAGATTTGTTTAATACGAAGTTTGGATTCGCTCTTTATTGCACGTTCATCGTTCAAAAGAACATTGTTTTAGGAAGATTGTAAAACCATAATTTTCGTGGAAACAAAACGCAAAGCGGATGATTTAACACGTTGGATGCGGCGAGACGGCTGGCCTGCTTTGTGTATTCATGGTGATAAAGGTCAGTCGGAACGTGACTGGGCTCTAAGTGGTATGTTTTACTCTTTTTTCTTCGGTTATAATTGTTCTGGAGAATTTTATATGTTAGGAATGAACTTTGAAGTCGGTTGTTTCCTTGGTTTCTCCTCAGTCATGTTAACTTTGAGCTTGTTGATCATTTTTTCAGAATTTCGAAGTGGGAAAACTCCAATTCTATTAGCAACTGATGTAGCTGCTCGTGGATTAGGTAAGTTACTTTACTTGAGACGCTTCGAAAGCATTATATGCTTGTGATGGGATTAATGTATGCGACAGGCTTACATCAAGAATATTAACGAGACTAGCATTCGGCGAGAGTATTTTGATATGTTTTTTTTGAAGTTAGCTGGCAGTGGAAATAGAATATTCTCTTGTTACATGTGTGTACGTATTCATTGAGCTCTTAGCAATAAGGAGCGGCTTTTAATAAGAGCAAAAAAATCTGCTCTTTCGCTCTTTTTAATATATTGTGTTGTTTTGGAAATTTAGGACATAATGGTGTAAAGTAAAAGAAAATACTGGTGATCTGGGATGAGGAAGCTTTGTGCTTGTGTTATGGCTCTGGCCAGTGACTGCTCTAGTGTGCGCATAAAATGACATTTCAAAGTTTTGTTTTTTAGTATTAGTTCTTTTCTGATGAATAAGTATGATTTCCATTATTCCTAGCCATAATATAAGTTGCATTTCTTATTATTCAAACCATAGCAGTTGAATTTTGTAAAGAAAACTAGAAAAGAATGAAAAAAGAGGTGAATGTCATCAGATTCACGCGCAAACAGAGGGGTCATTGTTGCTGCGTGTGCAGAATGGTCGTCAGCTGAAGGGAGGAAGTGGTCCGCGGTAAAAAAAATGAAAAATTGGGCCGCATCGTACCTTTGCAGTTTGGGCCTCTCAATATTTGGAGGCTGGACCACCTGTTGCACACGCAAATTCATCGACAAGGGATTTATTTGTTATGGATTCAGCTGCCACACGACACAGCTTCCTCAACTTGATTACAAAGTGACGCACTTGAGAATCCAGGTTAGATTTCTCGCCAATCGATTCTCCAAGTTATTGTCACTTTCCAGCGTTTTATTAAGGAATAAAGTAGAATGCACCATTTATTGCAAAGGATAAGTGCACATTTATTTAAATATTTTAAGTATGAGAAATCTGGGTATTGCGTGGAAGGTCGGATAGTTTGCTTGGGTAATTTATCACTTTATTACTTTTTGGCTTATGCGACAAAGATGATTTGATTTTAAAATAGGCAATTCATCCACGGAATTGTTGTGACATAAAATTAGTGTATAATATAGTGCATTTGTTGAAACTTCAATTTCGTGGACCTTATCTGCCGATTGAGTACTTCAGTTTCAACACTGATCATTATGTACGGAATGTATGTTGAGATGTCTTAACTGTTGAATTAATTTAATGAAGTTAAACTCATCGACTATCCGACTCTCCATGTATATACGCCTGTATTGAGAGGTTTTTTTTTCATAATCGAAAATCACTCATGTTCATTGTTATTACATACTCTCGTTCAACGAATGCTATACCGAAATTCATAGTGATTAATTGTAGATTTAATGGATAGTTATAAGATGTGGTGGTATGTTGATTTTAGAGTTATGTAAATTTAAATTCAGATGTTGATGATATTAAGTACGTCATAAACTTTGATTATTCGAATAATTCGGAGGATTATGTGCATCGTATCGGACGAACAGGACGACGTGATAAAACTGTAAGATTTGCATCCATCGGAACTACCTGATCCGAATTTATGCTTGTTTAATGACGTTTTTTGAAAAATCCAAGAGTACGAGAAAGAACTTGGTTCACTTTACAAACGATTGTTTCAGGGCGTTGCATATACGTTCTTCACTTATGCAAATGCTCCAAAAGCGAAAGATCTGATAAAAGTTTTGGAAGAGGCAAATCAAAGTATACCTCCAGAATTACACCAAATGGCTAAGGATAACTTCAATGGAGGACGTGGAAGGTCAGTTACGCTTGTACTAGTTTGGTGAGGCAGTAATGAATTTAAACGAGTCTGATATTGAACCATTTGACCAAGTTTGGAATGTAGGGATTGAGGGTCCTGTCAATCCGGATGTTTGGTTTCAAGTTTTAGTTTTTCAATTTCGTACTATTAATCCAGTAGTTTTAGATATGGTGGAGGTTATAAACGAAGCTATGGCGGTGGTGGTAATGATTTCTCCAAGAGGCCCCGATTTGATGCGACAGCACGATTGGGTTATGGTGATGGCTGGTGATGAATTTTGCACTCCATCTTAAATACTTCCATTTCCACAAGTCCAATACCATCTTACCTCGTTCTCTGAGATTCATGGGTCAAGCGTTACACGACCCTTAGGAGCATATTTCGAAGAGACATATTCGAGGATCACAAGACAATTTCGGAAGTGGTTTTGCAAGTTTTTTATTCGTAATTCATCGTAATTGTTTTTGTGTTTATACATACATGTTACTGTTAAGTCTTGCTGCTCCGCAACACTGAATCACTAAATGATCATTGAATTTGTTCCGTTGTTGTAATTGTATTAATGGATTGTCTTTTTGTTTTCGACATCATATGATTATAATTGTCTCTGGTATTGAACTATTGCTATGATAACGTAGCTGCTGATGTAAAGCCAGAGGATTTGTTTCATCTATTTTGCTTGCCAAAATTGTTTCTAAAATTAACTAAACGGATATGACGAAGGGTAGGTACCAACCAGTCAACCGACCTCCAGCACTTAAAGACTGGGAGAAAGGGATGAGTGTTGCATTCCGTAACAATTTGAGGATCTTCCAGCTCAGAGAGCCCAGTGTTAGGCTTATGTTGCAAATGTGGTTGAGATAAAAGTTCTTTTCACTGTTTACATACACAGCAGCAATATCAGTCCGGATATTCGCGATAATTGAAACCAGCGTGAACCAACTGTGGCATGCGATGTATGCCTGTTTGTCCGCTTTGCTGTTCCTTGGTGAGGGTAAATGACTGCATTTCTTGTGGTGGTTTCTCTGGCACCAACCTGGAATGAAAACTGGGGGAAACCAAGAAGTCAACGGACTGCTCCGTCCGATTCAACGTATACAACCGTTAGCAATGGTCCGGACCCTGAACGTTATTTTAGTCCACTCAATTATTGAAAGATTATGTGTCACTGCCTGCTCAAACTTGTGAATGATTTAAAAATGTAGAACAGATAGAAGTTATCTACGTTCTCGGTGGCGGTAGTCGTCGTACTTTCCGGCCCAAATAGCCGTCTTTCTTTTGGAACAAGCCACTAGCCATCTTATAGCCAAAACGTCGATGCATTTGTGCTGAGCCAAAAATCTTGTCGTGAAATTCTGCATGTGACAGTCTGCCAACTGTAGCCATGCATTCCTTTGACAGAACAAATTCATGTTTGTGAGGAAGCTGAAAAGAAATGACAATTTTGACACTTTAACATACTCAGTGTGTATGAGTAACAGCATATCATTTTCAAATGTTGTCAGCGTTTTGAATTGTACACTACAAGACATACTGAAGTATGAGATCAGGCTTACTACCTATATGTAAATGATAATAAACTTCAAAACGTAGTCTACTATAACGGGGACAGATTTCCAATTTAAAACTTTAATATTTGATTCCAATGATTAAATTTGCTAAAAATTTAAATTCAATTGGAACTTTATGACTCGAAAATTAAAAAAAAAAAAATTACTCTAATAATAACAAAATCTCCTTGATGCCTGATAATTTCAGCGCATGTACCGGCAGTGACAATAAAGACATCGTCATCTGTTGAAGGGTATTTTCGTTCATTTGGGAATTTTTCCACTGAATTAATTATGGAACCAGATGCCAACGCTCCTAATGGATATGCATTACCTTCTCTTCCTACAAAATTATTGAAATTACAGTAGTTTCATAAGTCTGTCGAACTGAAAACTAAATTCTGTTTTGCGAAAATCTCCTAACCTTCTTGAGGACTTTCAGGTACGTAACATGTCGTACTAATAATTTGTCCAGCTTTCATATTCTCCGTTGCTAATATCCAGCGTTTACCTTCCCAACCAGCAACAAGTGCAATAAAACATGTCCTGTTTGGATCTCGTCGTACTTCAATGACCTTAAAAACACTAGAATATTTGTCTGTAACGAGGCAATAATATCACTAGCCTAATACTCAATATATAAGTAAAGTTGTTAGTAACTGATTTTTCTGATACTGAATATTTATTTTAATAAACTTCCTACACATTAGAATTTTTCTTCGCAACAATAACTAAAAGTTCTAGAAAAGAAATTGGTAATAAGAAAAAAATCAAACTTTTTATGAAGCTAACTATAGTACAAAAAATGTCTTGAAAAAATCGTTACCCGTTCGTCATAAGTTATACCAGGCTCTTTTGGTCCACGTCGATGAAAATCAACCATGAAATAGTCGAATTTGGTGCCACCACCGATATGTTGATTAACTTTTCGACCTAGTAAAAAGGATAATTTCTTCTAAACTATGTAAAGTCACCTTGTATAAGACTGAAACATTTAACATAGTAACCTATGATACCTTCAAGTGAGCTTTGAGATACAACAGTTCCATTAATACGTAGTATAATACCCTTGTATATTTCTAGAGAAGAAAGGATGTTTGGTTAAAGAACGACAACGATAAAGCGTACAAAACTCAAACCTGTTTTGGGATCACGTCCACCAAGGCGATGTAAAACTAAAGGTTCATGTGTATATTTTCCTTTTGTCTGCTTTTTTAGATCTTCCATATCCCAAAGATATCTTGGTAAAGGTTTTGTTCCACGAGCAGGCATAAAACGTTTTGAAAACATGAACAAATACGGTGATAGGTAAACGCAACGTAATGCGTTTCCCATACTAGTTTGCATTGCAGAAATCTTCAATAACTTCAGAATCAACGTGTTATAAAATATTAATTAACTTATTAATAGCGTGATATATAACGCTTAAATAAGTCCTTACTTGTTGTCAAAACCTCCGAGTAAGATTCTATGGCATGGTATAAATTTTTATATCAATGGTATAAAGATAAGGTGAAAGAAATCACGAAGTATTTACATCATCTGATTGGATGAACTTTTAATCAAAAGTAATAAATTTTTATCAAATCTGACACGTTAATCATACTTCAGGAAAGATAAAATAAAAAATTTACTGAAAATCTTGCACTTTCAGATTAATCATGTGATTATTTTACTCATCAAAAAAAAAATCAACTATGGGTCATAATCCAATTACATGCTTGTTGCAACAAGCTACATCTAATTAATATTATGTGAAGCAGAAGCAAGGATAAATGTTTAGAGCAATTCTATTCCCCGGATCATACATTAAAGAAAATGATATATTAGAATTTAATGACTTGTCCGTAAAAATTACTAGTAACAGTATCAGTGCTTCATTTTTGCAATAAGTTTTTGTCCGAAATCTATCTTAAATAAAACATTAATGATGAATACAATCATTAAATTACTGATATAAGTCATTCATTTAAAAGAAGAGAAAAAATGAATTGCCATAAAATAGTAAATAATATGAATACTCCGTAGCAAAATATCCAAAACAAAAAATGCATTTACTATTAGGATTAAAGTTTAACATTTTCAATGAAAAAATATTCCTCCATACATAATTTCTTGAAGTATTTTCAATTAATTCAATGAAGCTACTTAATTCAATCTCATATTTTGTACTGCTGATAAAAATACACTGCATTTTCTTCAAAGATTTGGACCAGTAAATGAAACGAACAATAATTGAGTAAAATACTGCTGATCAATAGTTGAAAATACTATGCACCACTGCATATTTGATAAGATCTAGAAACACACAGAAGCAGTAGTAAAAAATTTCGATTCTTCTTTTTTAAGCATTTTCAAAAGACGATCGACATGTGCACTTGCTGATGCACGCGTTACAAATGGGCTTAATACGCAGTGCAGTTCGTAATTCGAGGTAACCTGGAGAAAATTTCTTTTTTTGCAGCATAAAAAATAATTCAAACATCTTTCTTAAGTTATAATAAACTTAAAGTAGAACACTACACTCAGTTTCTCGCAAAGTCTCATCAACGGATAGATTGAAATTACTGAATGAGGAACATAAATGTTCCTTGAAAGAATTTTCAGCTGTGCTGAAATATTATAACGGCTATAATATTCTTGTAATTTGTTGTGATTCTAATTCTGGTTAACATAACATATTACAGAATTTGAAACACTTCTACGTCGCTATTACGCTTTATGGTTCAATATACTTAACTTACCATCATATACAGCGTATTAATTTCATAAAATAGGCTTTCAATACTAACCTACTCTGATTAAATTGAAAGTGCTTTCAATAATAAGTCAAACTTAGTTCTGAATGGAAAAAAAAAAGAAACAAATAAGATTACACTCGACAGTAAACAACATTCGGGCCTTGTAACGAATAAGTGTCTCAGATTAGGTGTTCGCATCGAATAACCAAACATTTTTTTATAATATTCTTGCAATTTCCAACGTTCACTTTTATTGATAAATGGCAATGAATGTTGTGAACAACATATTTGGCTTGAGCATCGATTTTTGTACGTAAAATGCCATAAATCCGAAGGAACATCCTGCAAAGATCTTGCACTTCTTGGAAAAAGTTCAAATTTTCATCACTATCTCGAATTTTGAAACTGTAGATGGTCACTTTAATATTTTTGCTTGCAGTGCTAGCTCATCAAACAATTCAATTTTCGGTATTTCATCACAGAATAGAAGTGATAATGAATCAGCAATGAAATTTATTTTCGAAATATTCAGGGGAAGAATGTTTATCTACACGTTAGCTAATCAAACAACAGATCTCGTTCAAAAAGTCTGGTATCGATTTTTGTACGTAAAATGCCATAAATCCGAAGGAACATCTATTACTAAGTTGATAAAAAACTCTAGGTCAGTTCATGGAAATTACTGCATTGGATGCGGACGATTTCGACGATATTATCGTCTATTGAACTATCAATCAAAATCATCTCATTATTTTTGTATTGAAAAAAAAATTACAGCATATATAATAAGAATAAAACACCGTTTGAATATCGAAAAAAGAAGGATTCGCCACAGCATTCTTTAATGAAGCATGTAGCTTCGATGAACGTAACTTAGTAATAATCATATCTTTCACACCACGAAGTGTCTCAAACGCGCCGCGTTCCAGAGATAATAGCATCAAGCACGCACTACTGTTCTCCCAGATAAAAGAAACATAAGCATAAAGGTATCCCCTAAATTGTTTCGAATACAAATTACAAATAATTTTATTAAAAGGAAATAGGTGTGGTTTTGCATAAAAACATGATATCATTTCCTGTCATGCAATAAATATATAAGTGAAACTTCACCTGAATCATGCTAGATGTTTGGGAATGCAACATCTTACACAGAAGACTGGTTGTTCGTTGACAGATAAGAAAAACATGAAAAATTATGTACAAGAAAGAAACAGCAAGTCATCTATAGAAAAACCTACGTATCATTAAACTGTGGTAAGCATATAGGTATCCAATTATCGGCATTCTTTAACGACGGATTACAATCAATAAGATTGATAAGAAGATGCAAATCGCATGGATTTAATGTAATACCTTTCATTCGAACTACCGTGATAAGCTGCCGGTTAGCTATAACCAATCCATATACAATATTTTTAACCTAAAATGACATTACTGAAGACAAGAGTGGAGAATATTGGCTGCAACAAATTAAGTTTCCTTCGAATATGAAGAAAAATAAAAGTGAAATCTAAACAACTTAACTTTGCATTGTTTACTGCTGATATAATTGCACTTGTGAATTGTTCCCTATCTGCAAAAGTCATAGGAAATATCCGAATTGAACGCATGAACACTGCTATATCATTCCTATAACCGCACACTATGGCATTTAAATGTCTGTCTGTGCCTGAAAAGATATTTTCCACAAATATGCAGCATATAAAAGAAATGCTGAACATTAATAAAAATATTAAATCGAAGTAATAATGAATGCTTTTATTTTTCTAACAACTATTTATTATGGTTTAAGAAAAACTATTTTTGATACACACAGAGGAGTTCATAAACAGCACTGAAAAACATATACCTTTGAGCATAAATCGAAGATCAAAATTAGCTCCTTTAGTTTGAAAAATCGAAATCAGTTGGTCACGACAAATTATTGAAAGCATCTAGAATGTGAAACTGCTATAATCATACATCTTCAGGATTCAATCTTCTTGCCATTATAATAAAACATGATAAGTTAGTGAGCTTAGATATTATAGAATTTCAACTTTAAAATAAAAATAAATTATAAAATACATTCTTCAACTTTTTTAAATTAGCTGGAAAAAAGTCACCTGTTTATAAACAAGATCCACCTGAGCATCCAGCTGAAACCCGTCACGTGAAACAATACATAAAATAAGTGGACTTCGATAGGAGAAAGAAATCTGCATATGAGCCGAACGAATTCGTTTAAGACTATCATTCCATGAAGTAACAACCATAACAAATGTTTGAATGAGTGCAATAACTGAACATAATTGCTCTTCATGCCCACACGATGCAAAGATTGGTTTGCCAACTTCCGACAACACAAATACCTTAAGAATGAACAGAAACACTGAAAAAGAAAAGTAAGAAATAAGTTGTATTTTAGGTAAAAGTGCTATTGAAATTTTTTGAATAGTACCGTAAATTCACGACGTGATAATTCATCAAGCAAAGCTTCATCATCACATTTGTTTTCCTCATATGGTTTATCATCAACTGTTCGTAATCCCTGCAAAATTTTCATTGTAATAAAAGCATACATTTCCTTGGAAATGTAAACTGGAATTTAAGTAGCCATAAAATCAATAGAAAACAAACTCCTGCGGTTTTGTCGAGATCAACATCAAGCTCTTTGTTTGTTTCAGGTATATTTGTGCCGCCAGGCACTGCTGATGTCAATTCAGATTCAGAATCCAGCTTCGCTAATCTCACCCGTTCGTCAACGTCATGTTACCAATAATGACACAATTCTAGGTACTTGAGAAGTCATTTTTTATAAAAGTAATCTTCCCAGGACTTTGAAATTGCAATTAGAATTCCTCAACTTCCACATATATCTTACTTGCAAGCGCCTCTTCCATCCAATCATATTTAATCGCTAATCCTTCCACTTTCTCCAAATACTTTTCATATAAGAAAATTTAAAACTTCAATAAATCATGTTCTATACCGCATAACTAAAGACACAGCTGGAATTTTGAAGTTACTCGAATGAGAAAGACTGCGAACCACAACAATCTATTAGCTAATAATTAATAAGCTATCTATACTACCAATGGGTTGAAAATTAAATATTATACATTATAAAATGCTCAAAATAAGAATAATAATATCTCAATAATTTCACATGTTTGGAATGTAAAAAGTTAGGTCCAGAATTGCGCTACATTTATTTATAAAATAAATTTCATCACTTTATGGCATCATAACTAAAAGATTGTAAAAATAAAACGAATGTTCCATCACCAATAAAATGAATAAAATTATAACAAATAAGCAATGTGCCGAAATTTAATTTTCATACTTTTTTTTCACATACTTCAACATTTTTTTTTTTACATACTTAAAATGTTTTTTTCACATACTTAAAATGAAACAATTCTACTCTTTTCTTAGAAATTCACGACTTCATTGTTCTAAATGCCCTATCACACTTTTATGCTCGAATACAAATATCCTCAGTGCCGAGGAATGGCAGCAACGACACCATAATTTTTTTTTTATATTTCTGTAAAACACAACTGCAAATTTTTGTATAAAACTTGCACTACTGACATAGCATCTTTTGAATTCATACTACATCAAGCAAAATATAAATACTAAAAAATAATACAATAAATTGTTTATTGTATCTATTTACATTTTACTTATATTATTAAGCAAAAAAATTAATAATAACACTGAGAATTCCAATACTTGTCCGCCCCTCTAACGTTTTCTAAAATTTTTACAACAATTTTATAACATCTCTAATTCTAAACTTTCCAGAAGAAAACTACCTAAGCGTTAATGTGTATCCGATATGACAAAAAAAAAAAAAAAATTATAATAAATATTTTCGAAATGCTAGCACTGGAAAATTGACACAGTTAAAGAAAACTTTTAATTTTTTAGTTTCTAAGGAACGAGCCAGTTCACTCGCCTGTACGTGTATCAGATCAATTGCCATTTTTCTCCCGTAACGTCTGAATGCTCTGAAAAAAAAAGAAGAAACCCCAAATCAAGAAATCAAGGCATAAATATACTTAAATCATAATAAAAAGACATAATAGAGGAGTACTCTTATTGTTAACCCAATTCCCTAAAAAAGCATCGAAGCTTAAGAAGAGTTCTAGCATAATATCCCGGCGTTAAATTCAAATTTATACTCACTACCGTCAATTCATAACGTGTAAATAAGCAGGAAATCAATCTAAGAAATGTCATACCAGCTGATGAATTTGACACTTGTGGACTATGATTAGTATCGCATAGAGTATGCATCAAATGCGCAATCTCTTCACTTTTTTCAATTACTTCTTTTCGCAATAAGCTATTCTCTTCTTCGTATTTATTTAACTAAAAAATAACAATTGATATTGAAATCCATCAAATTCTAAGCCAATTCACAGCAAAGCCACCCTACTCTTTTTCCTTCCTCTAGAAAAATATGGTTAATAAAATCTGCAAAAAACTAAGAAGCACTTACAAGATCAGTGGTCTTGGCAAGTTTCATTCGCAAGACACTAAAACGATTAATTAATCTCGCATTAAAGGCATCTGAAACTGGTGATGAACTTTCTTCGTCAGAATCCTGTAAACTACGCCTGATCAATTATCGAAGAATAATGAGACAAGAAAATATCGTGAACATTGCTATAAAGATTAAGTTTTGATAAAGAGAATAATGTGGCTCAAATGTCATTTCATATTTTAGTACATTATGATCCTTACAGATGATGGAAACTTTCTCTTCTGAACCCAAATGAATGCAAGTTATAATGGCAATTTTCAAACATACGTGATTGAAGGATCTTTTGAATTCTGGCAGAGATGGCCAAGAGCAAAGGCTGGATTCTTCATCATCTTTCACTTTAAAACAATTCAGAGGAGTAGATGGTAATCCAGCTACTTGCACCTGAGCGTTATCTACAATTTATAAAGATTTGTCACTAGTCCTACCTCAAGAGAATTCTAACCAATTTTAATTATGAAATACTATAAATTAAAAATGGTACCTAATAGAACATAATGCCGCAGCATCTATTAGAAAAACTGAGTTACAAACTTAACACTACTCTTAAAATATATCACTCCAATCTTTAAATGATGAACACAAATGTGATGTTGCAAAAAAATTCACCGTGGGTACAGACATTAGCATTACCCATGCTAAGGATATCGTCCAAGCGTTTTTCGGCTTCTTCAGCGCGCTTTTGCTCCGACCGCACTTGATATGTTAATTCTTCCATTATTGAATACTAAATAAAAAAAGAAAAAAACACACAGTTTAAATCTAGCTAGTACCCAAAAATGATTGTATCATGCAAATTTGATATATTTCAAAATTTGGTGTAGAATAACAAAATCCACATCCAACTGAATGGAATAGATAAAGTTCACGAAAAAATCACCATACGTAATAGCTCCATTTCTTTACTAAATCTCATCCCGACTTCATATCCATTCACATCTTCTCTCAGCATTTTTTTAACCACTTCCAAATTTTGAGCTACTGAAGTTTGTTCCTACAAATTGTAAATCAATCACCAGTAAACTTGGAATTATATTTAAATTACTCAGAATATCAAACATCAGTTGTTAGAGGAAATTAAAAAAAGATCGTAAAACTCCAAGTCGTGAAACTCGCCCAATTTAAAAGAAATCTATACTTCTTCTTTGGCGCACTGCAACTCGAGTACGCGTATCTTTAATGCTTCAATTTCAGTGCAAAATCCTTGCTCCATTTCTTTCCAAGCCGCTTCTTCCGCTATCTTTTTCTCCTAAAAATTTGTCAATACATACTTATTTAACTGAAGTATTAAATATCTTGACAAATGCATACAAGTACATCCACTGAAATGAATTAAAAGAAACAGTATGCGAACTGCAGGCAAAGTCCAGCTTGTAATTACAGTAAGTCAAACAATTCCAATGATATCAAACACTAACAAATCAGCAAAAATGATATGAATCAGTTCTTTTGATTTTTGATACAAATCAGTCACAAACTTTTTCAGCTAAAGCCTCAGCTTTTGTAGTCTGCAACTCCATTTCAAGAATGTTCTGCAATTCTTGCCTTTCTTTCAGTAACACATCCTTTTCAGAAATGACTTTCTCGATCTCACGCAATCTTTCACATTCCATTTCCAGACTTCGTATATATTCCTGCATTCATCATTTATACTTACTCATTTATATTTCAGACTTCTAGAACATGCTATGACAAAGTTATTTCTTTTCCAAAATATTTCAACATAATTTTATCATTAAATTCTTTATTCTGAGAATAATGTATAAAAACAATGATAACTATTACGTACTTGTAAATCATCAGTTTGCGACTGCCCATCAGAAGTAATAGCTTTTTCCATTAGTCCTTCATGCAGGCTTTGCAATTCTACGGTTGCTTCTTCTTTTCCTTTAAACTGTTTATCATTCGTGTATTGTTCCATAGCTTCTTGTAATTCGCGTTGCAAACTTGCTGACCTGATAAATGAAATCAATTCTAATTTAGCGTTATTTTGTTCAGTCAAATTATAGAAGAAAATATCTAATTGTGTTGCCTTTCTCGCTCCATGTCGATTCCTTCGACTGTCACTTCCTTCGATAGTAGCAGCTTCTGATTAGAAACTTTTATCTGAGCTACCAGTGAGACTTCTTCCGTAAGCACTTCTGAAAATGAAACAACTCTTTTAATACATACTCATCATTTAAAACTTCGCAACAGAATCAATAACAGCCTACTATAGCGAACAGACTCTATATGACGAGATTTCAATTTTAAATCTGAATTCTTCATTAACTTCCCTACATTACTTTTACTTTGTTCTAGAAAAATAATGTATTAAACATTGAGAATAACAAACAAAGTAAACACAATGAAGTCATACAATTTTGATATATTAAATTCCTCCACATTACAAGCAACAAATTTACCTACGAGACAAAAAATGAATACCTCCCAATTCAGTAGGGTCACTAATCTCTCCGTGTTCTTCTGATTTCATTTCCAGAATCTCACACTCCTTCACAATCTAAAACAAAGCTTCAATAAATTGCAAAATATTCAGTGATACGTATAAAACAACGCTGAACGGAAACAGAAAAGAATGGTCAATAAACTTTGTGCTTTAACAGCTGCCGTAAGAAATTTCTTTTTTTAGTAAAAAATATTTAAATCAAATTCATGATGGGTTTATATGGAACTGAAATAATTCACATCAGTTATACAAAATTTATAGTGAATTCTGATGGAACCACAATAAAAATCAGTATTAATCAAAACATCGGAACAGTGCCTCATTAATCCTTCAGCATATTTTGTGAACTTCACAATCCAACCTGTAACTGTCCGAAGAACGATCCAGAAAAGTAGCATTCCACAAGGTGACATTTTATAGTCTTTTATTTCATTCGCCTCCCCTCTTTCAATTTTTACCTCCACTTTGTTCGGAGATATCTTCATTCTGCTTTACGTCCCCAGTCAGTATTTGAGCAATAGATCCCGGAATTTGGTTCGTCATGAAAAAACGACGATTTCTAGCTAACAGATTGAATTAACTTCCCACTGATGGGGCTACTTACTCAGTATATGATGTTGGTTTAGCATCAAAAAAAAAAAAAAGATGAAAATAAAAAAGAAACAGAACATTAAAACAACAAATGTAGGGTAAACATAAAAAAGAACACAGCCGACTAATATAAACCGGTTAATGATGGAACTATATACTACTAATTATGCAAGTTCAATCTACTCGATGAAAAAAAAAATCACCACTCACATCGCAATCAACTCCTTACTTATCATACACTAAATACTTTGACATTCCAGTACAATAAATAACCCCATTCAGCTCTGAAATCACTGATTGCTGCAATCGAAATTCTCTTCCTGTGATAATTTACGTTGCAGGTGACAAATCATTTACTGGCTTTCCATTTAAATTATCCTTGTCCTTCTAACGACAAACAAGCTGAAGTTTTCTAAATAAGCACTCATCCCTACCTCGATTAATTACTAGAAATTCATCCCGGTATAGATGTTACGTTCATTAGGTTCCAGTTTCGCAGTTTTTTATAATGTTAAGATTTTGCTATCCTTTAGATTATACGATTCATTCTGTAGCCAGATACTGGAGACATAAAATACCACTGAGCCAAAGATAAAATTATTATAGTCTTATACAAACATTGGTAATGAGCTCCTCCATAAAGCTTCTCAATTTCTGATAATCACAGTTTCAGCAAATATTTGTGAATGAATTCATTGATAAAATTCCTATGCTCCCAGTAACTCTGAGAAACTCGTAATTAAATTATTAGCTAAATTTCCATGTGAAAATCAACCAGGTCGGTCGGGAGCTTCAAAATTTATGTCTTAGGAGTAAATAACAATGCTTTCGTTCTTTGGACATTAAACTACCAATGTAATTCTTTTGACGTCTATTTTCTTTCAGTAATTCATAGTTACGACTATATAATTCCAGGAGCTGTTCCTGAAGACGATAGAATTCCTCTTAGGATATTGATCTGCTCACATTAATGACTGCTCTATCCTTCAGCAGGAATATTATTAACATCAGATTTGCTTTGATATACAAATATTAATAAATTTGTAATTATGGGATAAATGTAACTAGTTCTAATCGATTTGTGATAATTCTATCAACTTCATTCCATCAGCATAACTCTTCTGTTTGTAATAATAATTTCTATTGTATTAACCAAACAAGAAACAAGAAACGAATCCCCCCACTACCAGCTAGTTTCCGCGTTGAAAGAAGACTACTGCAGCGAATTGTTCCTCAACCTCTTCAGTGATTTCACTTGAGTGCGGACGTAATGAAAACTGTTGTCTCAAAATTGACTTTATTCGCTGAATTGTTTAGTTTCCCTAATGAAAGGGGGTTGTGTTTGCGTAGAAATGGAAGAAATATTTCGTCATAAGTTTGTCACTCTGATGGATGATTTTTTTTGTGGCCTGTATCTTTGCTTTGTATCAAATGAAACAATTTGTGATTTTGATTTTCCGTTAATGATGCTAATCAATCAATAAAAGATATTTTCCAACGGTAATGTTGTTTATATAACTAAATGATACAGTGATAACTAGGAGGAAATATTTTCAACAAAATATATTTCCGCTCTATCGTATTATTTTTACTAAGATGAAAATTTATATTTGCAATCATTTGTTGTAAATTTATTTGTTACGAAAAAGTTCCCGTAGTTTGTATCAGTTGCACTTTTACTGCTAATCCTATGATTCAATTTATCACTTACGAATTTGTCGTTTTTTCAGTGATAAATATAATATTAGCATCATATTTGTGAGTGGTAATATTTTCCACTATTCAATGATTGTTAATTTATTGAAAATGAAGTGATAACAGAGAATATTGGAATGATTAATGTAATAATATATGTTAATAGATACAATTTTGTCCAAATTACTATCAACAAATTTCTTTTTCAATATCAAATCAGAAACCATAATGGAAAAAAGAAAAAAAAAACGGAAAAAAAAAGATTCAACAGTAAAACCAGTATGAGGTAATAAATGATATGTATGGGAATATTAGCAATGTATCAGCTAATTTCCAAATATATATTTGACAGTGTTATTACAGCCAATATTTAATTATTGTTGATAATAGGTTCACGTGGAGGTCGACGAGTTGTTGACGTAAACGGAGCGATTGTACCTGGTATACTTGATCGATATTCCACAATGAAGCCTTTCTGTTCTTCGGACTCATCCGTAATTAGAAGTAGTAGTAAACTTCTTCCAGTTGATGTAAAAGATGATGGTAGCTTTGAAATTTTCTAATTTTTTATTGAAATATTTGATGAAACTATTGGAAAGTAAATTGGAACAGTATTAACACATTGTGGAGTATGTATTTATGCATTGGATAAGATTTGTAGGGAGAAGATATCGGTATTATTGATGAATCTCTTTTAAAAGAATTTAAAATTTATGAGCCTTTATTTTGCATTGCAAAAAATCATGAGAAGATGTACTATACGGGTTAGTCCTAATATTTGTTATATTTTATGATGAGAATTTGAAATTATTACTTTAAAATTATTATAAAACTGAAATTATTACTTTATCGCCACAGTATCGAGCTACGCGATATTCTTCCAAAATTTCATATCCATCATAAATCTCTACGTAATCAAACTCGCAATTTGCCTCATGTTCTAAATCAAACTGAGCAAAACGAATGTTTACACCACGGTTTGATTCTGCTACAATCCGCCATTCACATCTAAAATCGAAATTTCATGCATTTTAATTTCATTTCAATTAATGTACAACTAAACTATACAATCATATCTCTTATCATTTGATATTACGATCATTTTAAACTATTTTGAATGTCTTTTATATGTCTTTCCTATCTAACAGCAAAAGATAGAGAAGGTAGCATTGAAGCTGGGATTCTTATCTTTAAATTAGCATATAAGTAAAAATAATATATATGTAATTGATATAAATTTTCAATAATATTAGTTTACCTCATTTTCTTCTCGTATTTACCATCACTATAACGAGCATGAGAATAAATAAAACCAATAGTTTGCTCAGCTTTTAAATTACCACCACATACTGAAATTAAATGATAAAGTAAACTGAATAGATCATGATATCATGATCAAAATCCTTCAGATTGAAATATTTTTGATAAGTTATCTCTATAAATCAAAAAGTACAACTCATTTAAATTTATACAAATTAGAATTCATATAAGAATTACTACCTGTTAATGGCCAATTTTTTCTTCGTCTTATCACATAAGATAAGCATACGTTAAATGCTTTTTTCATAATTCATAATATCTAAGTAAAATTATCTAAAATTAATCTAACTCAACCAATTATGCATATATAACAAGAGTATAAATTATTTGATGTACTTGAAGAATAAAAAGCTTTAAATCCACGACGATTAACGCTTGCATCTGTAAGCATTGTCATGAATAACTGATTAGCGGTTGATTGTAAATTTGGTGGTATATCACTACCGCAAAAAATTCCTAATGATGTAGCATCACTGTTACCACCGTCAAATATCTCGATATGATCATATTTGCATGCATTATGTTCTTCAAACATGAATTCTTCAAAAGACTGTAAAATTTTTTTTTTTCTTAAACTTATAACGATCTAATTAATACTTTAAAAAAAAGAAAAATCTGTGTATCATACCATCTGTTTTCATTCCGATTATTTGGATGTTATAAGAAGAAAAAAAAAATGAATTTGTTAATTATTTTATTAATTAATTGTTTAAATAGATTCATTGCAGATCCATCCCTTATTAATAGTTTCAAATTGGTAGTTTTTTTTTTTTTTGTTTGTTTTATTCCTTACCTTTAATATAATATGAACAATACTAACAAGTGAGAGACGATGTCCTGGCGTAGTTACAAAATGCCAGTTGCAATTTTTTCCTTGTGGGTAATTAAATGGATAATTTGGTGAAGTAATTTCACCTTCTGGATCATACACCTGTAAATTACAATCACCTTCTTTACAATTATGTCCATCATCTGCCAAAACATAGCCATTTTCACATTCGCATTGATATGAACCTGAAAAAAATCTTTTAACTCCTAAAATTTGCATATAATTACACAACTATTTATGCAAGAAAAAAAGGGCAAAACAAGAATTAAAAAAAAAAAAAACTACCAAAATTTCCTGGAAATCTAAATCATTCTATCTGATTAATTTGTAAATTAAATTCACCAAACTTTTCAATTTTTAATATTACCTATTTATTAATTGCAATATTAAAATTTGCAAATAACAGAAATTTTACATAAGATAAAATTTAATAAATGAAACAATTAACCAATTGTATTTGTACAACGTTGTTGACAACCACCGTTATTATTACGACATTCATTCAAATCAGTGATAAAATATGCCAAAAAGCCATTTTTTTCAATCTGTAAAAATACAAAATATATTATTTAGGAAGGAGAAACTGCAATAATTTTATCATTTATTTTCTGTCTTCTTTATTAATTTTAATATTAAAATTGTTTAAACTTTTGTTAAATTATTTTGATTTGTTAAATTAATAATTTTATTAAGTTATTTTGTTTATTTCAAATTGTCACAGTTTTAATATTAGGTAATATATATCAAATAGCAATAAGAAAAGTACAAAAACTAAAAATAAAAATGAAAAATTTAGCAAATAAATACTGAACTGTATTATCAGAAACGAATAAAACTTTAATACGATTTGTTGCTGATGTATAAACTAATGAATTATAATATCCGCAATATCGTTCCTCCATTCCTTCATCACTCTGTATGAGAACATAATCATATGAACATGCTGATTTCATTCCTTCCACATCAAAATGTGTAAAATTAACAATAATTTGATATTCATTATTAGCTTCAATTTGCCAAATACATGTTTTAAGTGGTGCGTAATTCAATGGATAATTCGGACTATGAAATGTTCCATTGGATGCTTTTATAATACCACCACATGTACCTGAAAAAAATAAATAAGTAAATAAATACAATTAATTTAAAACACGACATTTAAATGAGTTAAATATTAGAAAAAAACCATTTAGATTAAACTGTAAAATGATGAAAAATGAGATAATTTGATAATTTTATATTAATTAATAATTTCTTACTTTGACAAGTTTTACCATCTGAACGTAATGAATAACCAATATTACATTTACATTCATAGCCACCAATTTTATTCACACAACGATGCTCACATCCATGACTATCTGATTTGCATTCATTTATTTCTAAAAATTTAAGCAAATCTCATCAATATACATTTAATTAATTAACTTCTTTATTATTTCATAATAATTGTGTTCATATTTACTTTTCAAGAATGTAGAAAATAACATATTAAAAGGTCAAATTACTTATCTAAAAATAACCTTTAACAAAATTAATATGAAAACCTTCTTTTTGCACCGAACTATCCGAAATAAATAACAATAAAGCGGTATTGAAATGTGATACAAGAGTTTTGGTTACAATCTGTAAATTTCAATTTTAAAATCAAATTTCATTTTAAAATGAAAATTCTTGAAGATTGTTATGTTTTAAAGAAAAACCAGTCAAAAAATATCAACTATTGTGTCGGCTAGTTGACTTAAACCAAATGACTCAAACTATTAAGAGTTTTAAATAATTTTAATCAAAACAGAAGCGATTTCAGTAATTTAAATTTAACATATATTGCTAAGTTCATTAATTTATCGATTGAATTTAATGATCCAATTTATAAAGAAGACAATAATTTAAATAAACATATTATTATTTAATAAGTAAATGAATTTTACCTGACCGCATAATTTAGAAAGTAATGCAGTTGATTCTACCACTGTACCATCGTATATTTCCAATCGATCGTATATACAATCTTTATGTGTTTCAAGCTAAATTAAAATTTGTAACATTTTTATTTTTGGAAAAAATTTTAAATTAATCATATGAGTAAAAAGAGAAGAATTTCTTCCATTCTCCAAATTGATGACTAAATTCTCAAATAAAAACTATAAATTTTAAACTATAAATTATTAATATAATGTAAGGGAAAAAAGAGACTGATAGTAATTCAAATAGAATTCTAATTGACAAGTTTCAAAATCTCTCAATTTCTTCTTTGTTATAAAAGTACAATTTTAGTATAGTAAATTGTAAATCAAAATTTTTGTATTACATTATATTAAAACTGATAAACAAATAATCTAACATTGAAATTTTCAATAATCTTTTCTCTTTTCCTTTTTTGCTAACTATCAATAGCTTATTTTAAAAGAAAAATTTACATTAAAAAATTGAAATGTTAAAGCAATTTGATAGCCTTCTTGAACTGTAATAAGCCATTTGCACTCTTCATCAGGCATATAATTTTCTGGATATCGTGGAGTTTGTATGGTACCAATATCACCAATAATATGTCCACCACATACAGCTAAACATTCAATTATAAACTGTTAATAAAAGAAGAAAATTTTTTCGTTTTTTAAAAAAAAGAAAGAAAGAAAAAACAAATAACAAAACCAATATAATGAGCAAAAATGGAAAATAATGGATATGAAGTTTGTGTTTGAATGAAAAGTCGATTGCTAGTTGAAACGATTGTTCGTGATATTACACCACCACATAGTTTATCTAAATAGAAAAAATAAATAAATAATTGAAATATATTGAACTGATATTTATGAAAATTAATTGCAATTTTAAGTTGGTAAAAATTATTGAATTAAAAATTAATTGTAAATTAATTAATTAATATTACATAAAGAACTTCTAAAACTAACATAACGTCTAAAATTAATTCAATATTCTTTCATATGATTGACATATCTAATTTTATCAAAAATCTCTAACATAACAGTCGCTTTCTGATGATTCTTTAAGAAAAAAAATCTTATTATTTGTAAGAAATGATTATACAAGTACCATATTTTAAAAAAAGGAAAGAAAAAGAAATGATATGATATTTATATATGATTTAAATGATGAGCAAAAAAAAAAAAAGATTGCCAAATTTATAATACGAAAGAACCTAAAATTGGTGAGCCAATATAATGACCATCTCTAACAATCAAATAATTATCACGTTCCGAAGCGCAATCACGTTTTGGTGATGGTAAATCAAGTGTGGAAACGTTAAGAACTATAAATTCACCAAATGCAGCAATGATACGCCATCGGCATACGATATTACTACCATCCAAACGTAACTCACCAAATTCTTTCACCAATGTTTCGCCACAAACTGACAAATTGTAAGTAATACTTACTAAGCAGTAATAGTAGTTAGTATAATTTTATCACTGAGATCGTCCAAATTGAAAATATCACTGAACGTTGGCCACAACTCACACACAATTTCATTTAAAGAGCCCAGAAATATAAAATATAAAGAGAGTAAAGGAGAATAATAGTAATATGTCTTAATAGTAATAATATTATTTAACTTCGCATATTTTAATGTGACAATTATTAATAAAATAATAATCTAATTTTTTTTAAAAAAAAACACGCAAATATCAAAAATTATTTAAATTCCAAAAAAAAAAAGAATTTGTACGAAAAAAGTAAGAACCTGTGCATTTATAAAGTTTTTTTGTTTGTGAAATATCGCCTGGTGATAATTGCATACGTTGGCCGATTTCTGGCCGTTGACCAAATTTTACTTTTGGCAAAATTGTATCCAAATACATTCCTCGAGAAAATGTATCACGAGCATAGTGCATAATTGATGCATAATCGTATGGCTCTCCAAGTGAATCAATCTCATCGGATTTCAATTTTTCAAAATTATAATCTTGTGCTAAAATCAAATTTTATAAAAATTTAATTCACTTCAAAGTATCATTTACATTTAAAAAAAAAAAGAAAAAAAATGCAATCATTTATTTTTCCGATTCATAGCAATATAAACAAATGCACAGGAGGAACAAAAGATGTGATAATTGTTGTAATAAATATCAATCAATTATCACTATATTAATCAGTTCTTATTTGATTTTTCTTCCACTTTGTATACAAAACTAAAATTTAAAAATAATTTAAAATCTTAATGCTATCAAACCTTGTTGAATGCTTTTATAAAATATATCAACATGTTGATCACGATCAAGACGCGTATGCTCATGCCAAAAACCAATCACATGACCCAATTCATGTACAACAATGCCAAATTTATCACAGTTCTTTCCAATGCTTATCGCTTGTGGTCCATTACTTTTCCTTCCAACATATGAGCAACAGCTAAAAGTATTATCATAAACAATAAATATAATATTTATTGTTTTGAAGTAGTAAAATTGTTAAATGATTTGTAAAAAATGACAAATTTATCATTAAAATATTTAGTTGTTAAGCTTTAAAAAAAATTAAATACCTAACATTAATAATAATAGCTATTGTAATTGAATTATTGATTAAAATAAGCTAAAACAAAAAAAAAAAAACGAAAAAAACGAAAAATTATCACATCTGTAGACTTAATTAGATAAATGTTAATCAGGTAATCAATAATATTTACTTAATTAATGGATAAAATTATTAACAAGTGTTAGAGAAAAGTTATGAACTAAATTAAACAAATTTTAACTATTGTTTATTTTTGTTCATATATAAGAAATAAATTTACCCGCATTTATCAATGGTAAAAACGATATAATTAAGATGTTCTGGTTGTCGTGGTATAAATGTAATGCATGTGTTATTCTCCCAATGACGCATTGCCCTCTGAAATAACCGCTTATGTTCACCTGCGGAATGGAACAACTGTTCCGTAATGTTGAGTTACCTGTAAAATTATCTGATATATCATATGGGATTACACCATTTGGCCATAATCGTTCTTTACGTGCTGTTGCTGCTCTAATTTGTCTCCTAAAATATATCCATATGAATGACAGAAATTTTTTAATATATTTTGTAAATTATTAACTTGGAAAAAAAAGTTCATTTACAAACCTGAATTGTGATCTATTTTGACTCATCATATTTCTGTTAATTTCAGGGAATTCCATAAATGTTATTGCTGCTTCTGCTGATAATGATAATGATGATGATGATGCTAATATTGGTGGTGATGTTGATGATAATGATTGGAAATAATAATTCCGATATTGATATCGTTGATAATATCGCCATGATAACTCCGATCCAATAAGATAACGTTGTGATGTTAATGGTGTAAATAGAAAAAGAAATAAAAGAACTGGAAATGATAGCATAATAAAATATAGACCTAAAACGGAATTACACCGAATATTATCTCTAATTTATAAAAATAAATTCTTTTTAATAATAATGCAATTTTTAAAAACTAACCATTAATAACGATTATTAATTCAATTAAAATTAATACACTAAATTAAAATAATATTAATATGAATATGTAATGAAAACAGTACCATTGTTAAATTTTAAATAATATACAAGAAAAAATGAAAGTTATTGAAGGAAATGAATTTGATTGAAATATTGCAGATAACAATAACTACTGGAAGCATCAGCATCGCAAGAAATCTTACCAATGAACACTTCACTCCTCGACTGAAGCAGCAGAAGATTGACGATGACGATCGGATAACGATAAGATCGAACAAATGGACCAATGAAGTAGAAAGAAGCTTAAGGGAGCAGCAATTCATTCCATTTTGCGTCTTCCACTTCTACAAACTAATTATTTCTATCTCTTCTTATATTTATTCCTTTCGTTTAATTGGAAAATTTTCTATCATTGTAACATTAATTAATTAATAATTGACATGTATGTTTATTCTATTTATTTATTTATTAATTCACAATAAAAGAAATTCTTTTATACAAAAAAAATATATATATATATTTATTTACTTATTTAAAAATAGAAATTCTTCCATAGAACTTGCAAAATTATTATTACTTAATTCGATTTAAAAATTAATATTATCACTTTTGTTTTGTTTTATTAAAAATTAAAACTTCTAATATTAATTATAGATAGTGAGGATTATTTTTATCAAATATATGATCTTAATATGATATTCCTTCTTTTTTCTAATGAAATGAAATGGTTAGATGTTATCTTAAATTTTTAATATTTTCATTCCATTCAAAATCAGTTTAAACACAATACTAAATTTATAACTTTAAATAAGACGTGCAAGATTTACAAAAATCAATATTATTTCTTTATTGTTCAGAGTGCTTAGCAGAAATAAGCATCACTTTAACATTTGTTATTTATTTCTTTATTTTTCGCCTAAATTAATTCCAATATCCTTTGATGAACTTTAAAATATCTTTTTTTTTCAACTTGTTTTTTTAGCTCTTTTTTTCTTTGTTGCATTTTACATGCAGTTTGCATTGCATTTATTAATAGAATTTACTTATCATTGTTCTCAATGATAAGATATAAATTTTCGTAGGATAACTTAGGAATATCATTTCATATTTCTTTTATAAATTATTACACACTCAATTTTCAGCCCTCATTAATTCTTTCTTTTCTTTCCACATTTTTTCTTTCCTTTTTTCTTTAAAAAAGTTTTTTTTTTCTTTTTTTGCACCATTATTCAATTAATTATTGCTAGAATTAACACCAAGAAGTTATCATTTCCAGATATTTTTGGGATGAATGATAAAATTTGCAATATATTAAATGCCATTTTGTATTTCTTTATTCAAAAAGATTTTGCTTGTATTTAAAAATATATCATAAAAAAGACAAGTAACAAATGAAAAAAAAAATGGATTGAATAGGTAACTGATAATTGTTAAAGGTTTGCATGAATAATAAATCAAATATAATTATGGAAGCAAAAGAAGTTATGTACCAAATCCAAAAATAAGAGTATTATTTTTCATGAAAAGGAATCAAAATTAAGTAACATTATATGAATGATATATTGAATTGAAATTGATGTGTGAAATATAATGTATAATAAAACTGAGGAAATAAATATAACGGAATAAAAATTTATGAATGATATATTTTTTCTCTCTTTTTTGCAAGATATATTATGATTTTCCTTTTTTCTCTTTACCTTGCAAGTTTTACTTTTTCATACAAAAAAAAAAAAAAAAAAAAAAAAAAGGATAAAAAAAAATGAACCACTTGTTCGAATTCTACTTCATACTTCAAAATATTGGGAAGAAAAGTTAAAAGTGAAAAATCATGCCTTCCGGTCATCATATTCATTGTTTAACATTTATTTTGCAAATATAATTTTTAATAAAGATAATATACAAATTAAAAAAATGACAAAAAAAGAATTTAATCGAGAAATGTTATAAAGCAATATTACAACAGATAAATTATAAGTTGTTTGGTCTCATTTACACGATTTAATAATGTAATTTAAAAAAAGAAGGAGGTTAAAGATCGTTTGATGAGATCAAACCTATATGATTGAATTTTATCATTAAGTGAAAGATCAGTCCTAATGTGATTGCAATTTGCTATTTAATGAGATGAAAAATTCTCCATGGGATAAAAATGTGCATTTAAATATTAAATTATATAATTCAATAATTCAAAAAAAAAAAGCACCGAAACAAAGAAAAAAAAAATGTTTATATATTACAGATATATAATAAAAATTGTATTGTAAGACTATATTAACCGTAAATTAGTTCAATTTTTTTTTCTAATTTTATTTCAGATTGCCACAAAATAAAATTTCCTCAACTAAAGATGTATGACAATGAAATAATACAATTATGTATTGAAAAAAAGTACAAATAATGATGAGTGATAAACGGTAAATTTCTTCAAAATTTTTTTCATAAATAAAAAGAAAAAATGTTTATATATTATACTTATATAATAATTTATCACAAAATGGAAAATACATATTTATACATATTGGAAAAGTAATTTTTTCTCTCTTTTTTTGTTTAAAAAAAATAAGAAATTAACTGAAATTTTAGTAAAAAAAGAAGAGAAAAAATAGAAATGAAATAAGATTATCATACAAAGTATAAAATATTTATTAATCTTATGAATATATGGTGACAACTTCGGTACCGGTACCTCTTACCAATAAAATCCTCTGCAAACCTTCCGTTAATGCTTCAATAAATTCCATATCTGCAAAATGACATAGATTTCTTTTTTGATCAGTTCATCATTAAAAATATCTACTAATTAATTGTTATTTTAATATTGCTAAAAAAAATGAGTAAATGAAATAAAACAAAAATTTTTCGATTGTTAACTGAAACAAAAATCACTTTAATATATTCATATTTATTGCTAAATTTAGACTAGTTAATCTTGGTTAATTAATTATATTTTTAAAATTTAATTTAAATTTTCAAAAAAAAAAACAAATTTTTTAAAATCTATTCATTTCTTTATCACGATAAGATTAGGAACAGGAATATATGTTAATTAAATTTTATGAAAAAAAAAATGCTAAATAAATCTTTTATCAATTTAAAGTTAAAATTATAAAAGAAAACAACTGCAACACAACTTAAAAGATAGAATTATGTTTATCTTAAAATAATCTGTTATGAAAGAATGACTGCAGTTAAATTAACACTTAGCTTTGTTAATGATACATATCATCAAAATAATCAACTAAACATATTTTAATTCTCAATATATTCTAATTAATCTATTGATGATCTATTAACTAAATTAATCTACTGATTTACTAACCCAATTATCATTTCAAAAAATATGCTAATTTTTCAAAATATTTTAGAAGGAAATTTTTTTTTTTTTTGTTTTGAAAACATAAATTAATAAATAAACTAACAGTACTGTCCACTTCCAAGCTCTGGTGGTCCAGGTAAATTAACAATGACAAGTTGAGCATCTGGACTTTTCTCTCGCATTAATTCATTGAGTTTTACAGCGGTATGCATTTTTCTTACATTAAAATTTTTTCGCATCACACCAAAGCATTCATTTTTGATGATAATATTGCTTGTTTTATCATCCGGAATTAGTATAATTGGTGATGATAAATCATTATCATACATTTCCGTATTTTCTGGTAAATCTTTTGTATCATTTTCATTTAGTGTCTGAAAAACAAAAAGTAGATAAATAACTTATGATTTGATTAATATAATTGATAGAAAAATTATGATAGTGTTAAGATCAAGACGAGAGATATGATATTTAGAGAAAAAAAAATCATTTCATATATTTTATTATAATTTTAACTAAAAAAAAACAATTGATTATAACAGATGTGAAAAGTGAAATTGTGAAAATGGAATAGATAAAATTTATATTTAATGTGATATCGTCAATTAAGTAAAATGGTACAATATCATCTTCACTAAAATGAACTCGAGATTGCTCGCTTCGATCAAGCATTGTAACATCTGTTAATTCACCTTCTTCCATTATTATTCCCACTGAATTAGTTGTTTTTTCAGCCTATAACATTTAAACAATAATATTTATTTCAAATATAATTTATAAATCAAAATACATTCAATTATTTAAAAATAAAAACAAAAAACAATTGAAATTTAATTATTTTTACTGTCCAAATAAAAATTTTAACTTTTCATTTAAAAAAAAAAACAACAACAAAAATGGAACAAATTTTTATTTTTACAAAATTTCAATATATATGAAAATACATATAAATTCATCCCCAATAATATCGTTTTATTTTCTTTTTTTTTTCTGCATTTCCATTTTTCGACAAAAATAAAATGAATTTTTTTTTCTTGCAAACCTTAACATATAGCAATTGATCCTCTTCACTGATACGTGATAATTTCCTTTCACGAGCTGCTTCAACAACAGCTGACTGAACATCTAATTTTCGTTCACCAACTTGCATATCTTTTAACAATCGTACCCTTTCCTCCATTTTCATCGTTCGTTCATAAGTATATTCTGAGATATCTGAATCTGGCTGAAAAAAAAAGAAAAAAGAACTTTATTTTTTAATAAAATTTAATAAAAGAAAGAAAAAGATTACAATGTGATTTAAATAAAAGAAAGGAAAAAACTACAAGGTAATATTCAAAAAAGTCTAGTAATTAATAAATATTATAAAAATCATCAAAATATAATTAATTGAGTAAGGGGAAAAAATCATATATGTCATAATAGAAAGTAAAAAAAGTGAAATGAATGAATTTAAATGAAATGCAATTGTTCTAAAAATGATGGGAAAAAATGAACTATGCTTTTTCTATTATTTTAATATGTTGTCATATGTATCTTATATTTAAACATCAATAATTGGATATCATTGGTGATGTTTACTTTAAATTATAGACCTTTCCAATTAAATGACATCAGTTATGATGTTTTAAATTATATCTAAAACACAATTTATTCTTAGCTAAAATATACTGATTTATTTTAGAAAAGAAAAAAAATAAATTAAATAAAGAAAATTTTAAATATGAACCAATTCGATGACAAAAACTTGAGCTTCAATACGTAAATGATATAAGAATGTTTCCAAATCTTTTTTCATATTAAACGTATTATCATCCATTTGAGCAATTGTAAATAATCTTAAACGTGTATTACGCCATGTTTTACTTTGCTTTAGAAGAAATGGCAAAAGCATTAGTAAACCACCGTCATGTACAATCCACCAAACATCTAAATAGCCATGTAGCTGAAAAAAAATAATAATAAGAGGATAACGATTCTTTTTTATGAATAATAGAATAAAAATTAAAATAGAAAAAAAAATTTTTTTTCAAAATTAACCAATTGTTTCAAACTCAAAACTTAAATTCAAAATATAGTATTTGCAAGCAATATTTTTTTGCAATTATTTCATCAATAATATCATTCACTTATAATATAATATATAAGATAATTCAAAAAAAAAAAAAAAAAAAAAAGAAAAAACTCAATACAATAAAAAATAGGATATGAAAAAGTTTAAAAATATTTAATATACAAATGAATAAATTAATTAATTAAATATATAAAGTAAGTAATAAATAAAATAAAATAAACATACGTACAAATAAATCGATTAATCAATTAAATAAATAACTAAATAATTAGTCAAATAAATAAAATATAAATAACCTTAATTTGTGATGATGGAAATATTTTGACATTTTTTGGAACTAATATTGCACAATCTGCAGCATCTGCAGCACGTAACGTACTAACAAATCGTTGACAAACACTAATTTCATGTGATGTAGCCCATTCATCAGGCCATGCAACAACAACTGTATTATGACGTAAACCACCCAAACCAGATGTCTATAAAAAATAATATTACTTTTAGAAATTATGACAAAAAAAAAGAACAAATAAAAAGAAATTTCATCACTTATTAAAAAGGAAAAAAAAAAAAATCCAAACCTGAACAAGACAGTATATTCCTTCAATAAAATTGTTTACCATTAATATATCATAAAATCCATGTATTTTATGTAATTTAATTTGTTGATCCATTTCCTAGAAAAAAAAAGTGATTTATATAAATACATATATTTTTTAATTACAACTCATTTAAAATTAGTTCTTATATTATTTGATTAATGTAAAAAAATTGGTTTAAAAATTTCAGTGAAATTTCTGATTAATTTTAAAAACAAAGTTTTTTTTTTTCTTTCTCTAATTATCGATAATTTTTTTATATAATTAAAAGAAAGAGAATTAGAATTTATTGCTTTAATCTTTTTGATCTTTTTTGTCTGTCATTTTTCTAACTTTACTAAATTCTAAACTTACATTTCGGGCAATTTCAACAGCATCAGCATGTTTAATGAAATTACCCTCAATACATTTTGCAATTAAGGTAAGACCTTTGCCAGCTTTTAGCTGTGACACAAATGCAAACAATCCATTTTCGCTTTCTTTTGAATCGGGTGCGATAACAAGTAATTGAGGACGCCAATTCTAAAATATTTCACAACTTTTTTTTTAAAGATTTCTGATAGATGAATGAGATGAAAGAGAGAAATGGAGAGAGAGAGAGAGAGAGAGAGAGAGAGAGAAGAGTAATTGCTTTTACAAACAGGATAAGAAATGAATACTTATATCATCGACTTGCACTTTTTTTAAAAATATATCTTTAAAACTTCTTTCGCTTAAGATATCATCTTTTTCCAAAAAAAAAAAAAAAATGCTTTTCTGTGGCAAGCAATAGAAATTGATACATTAAAATTTTTTATAAAAATAAAAAAAACTTTGATTTTCCTCCTTTCAAAGTTTTAACAAAGAAGAAAAAGAGAGAAAGAGAAAGATAGGGAAAGGAAGAGAAAGAGGGAGAAGAAAAAAGAGGCAGGAAAAAAACAATATATTTCGATTAATTATGAAAGAAAATTTATTCGTGATAAAATGTATTTAAAATTTAATGAATACAGTAAATAATACGTAACAACGTTTGACGTATACTTTTTTTTGCTAACAAGAATATTTTTAAATAAGATGAATAGCGATGTATTCATAAGTATTAAAAAGTGTAAACTAAATGAATATTCTCTCTCTGAAAAAATTAAAATAAAAAAACAGAAAAAAAAGAAAAAACTGATATACAAAAATATATACTTTTGTATGCTGTGGACGATTTTCGACATTAAGAAGTGCAAAACGTGCTGCGGAAAGTTTCAAACCACGTAATCCGTCACCCCATTCTTTTTCTGCACCAGCATATTCAATATACTGTAAAGAGAAAGTAATAAAATGATACTTAGCATTCCTACTTTTTCTCTGTATAATTTAAATTCTAATACTGATTCAGTGTAAATTTTAATTAATTGCATAATTAAAAAAAAAAATGGATCCATGCGAGATAACAATAAATTAATACATAACCATATTTGATGTATATTTTATTTTTTCATTTTCTTACTAAGAAAAACAAAGATTTTTGAATAAAACAAATGTAATTGCATCAAAATAAATGAACAAATTTGAATATTTAATTGTATTAATGTATTAATTTATTAATAGCTTAAAAAAAGTTGTTTTTTCTAAGATTTTAATTATAAAATAAGAATAGTAAGGATTAATTACTTTATAAACAGCAGCTCCAATAACAATTGCAACTACAGCATAATGCCACGCTGAAATAAACATTACAGCGATACATAAAATTGAGCCAAGTAATGACAATGACCAATGAAAGTAACGAAATAGTGGACGCCAGCCAGGAGCACGAAGAATACTTTGTAAGGCACATGCTGTGTTAACGCCCAAATAACACATGAGAAAAAATCTGAAATTTATATGGAAATATTAATTTTTTACCAAATGTAAAATTTTTGTACCATTTATATTTTTTATTTATTTTATTAAAAAAATTTTTATTAATAAATATTGTTAAAAAATTTTATTCAGGAAAAATTTTCAATGTTTTTCATGTTTTTGTTCTGACTAAAATTTAACATTCTTTTTATTAATTCATTAATAAACAAAGATAAATTTATTGATTTTAATATTAATGATTGAGAAAGAGAGCAATTATATTATACATAATCGGAAATGTAAAAAAGTTTTAAGATATCAAATAAATGAATAAAACTAATTAACAGTAGTAATAATGAATTAATAATATAATAAGTAATAATGAAGAAATAATGGTGAATAAAACTAATTAATAATAGTAGCAATACTTACTGAGTGATAAGAGCAGTGATATTCTCGATAACTGCAATCAGTATACCACATTCACAGATCAATAAAGTAAGTAAAATTGCGAGAATTGGTTCACCTCTTGAATCCATTCGTTGAAATCGTGAAAGGAATGGTATCACATTATCACTAGCAATTGCTTGCAAAAGTCGTGGTGCACCAGTTAATGATTGCATACCTGCACCAACTGTTGATAAGAAACATCCAATCTAAAGTTTTAAAATTTTGATTAAAATTATCAGATTACAAAATTTCAAAAAAAGAATAAAGTAAAAATAAAAATATTATACTATCAACATAGAAAAAAGTGAAAATTAATTAAATGAAAATTTCTCAAACTACATAATCTTTTTTATTGTTAATTACAAAAGATTACGCATAATTTGGAAAAATTTTATCATGAAATTTCTGAACTAATAAAGAGGGAGAGAAAGAGTGATAGAAAGAAGGAGATATATAAGAAAATAAATAAATAAACAAAAAGATATGTAAGTAAACTAACAAGGATAACTGTTGGATGAGGTATTGCAAGTTCAGCAATAACTAATTTACTCATTGCTGATTGACCAAATTTGTCACGAATAAACATTTCCGAAACAGATGCGCCAAATAAAATTACACCACTTAGATCTGAGTAAGGAAAAAAATGACAATAATTATAAGAAACATAATAATTACAATAATGGTTGCGAATTTAAACTTACACCATTTCATTTAGGAATAACATCTTGGTTCATTGCAAGAATTGTCAAAATTATCAGATGATTTTGATTTTTTTTTTTTTTGATTATTTATTATTACTAATTATCATTAGCAGTCGCTACTATCAATTACTATCATCATATATTATTATTATCATTATTATTGCTACTATAGTTATCTTTATTATTATCATTATTATTGTCACTATTACTAATTATTGCTCTATAGCACGATCATTATCATTATGCCTATATATTATGAAATAAGGTGAACATAATTCTATCCATCATAAACTAGCTCCAATGTTAGTTCCGCCATTTTTATCTTTTCCTTTCCAAGATTTTAATGTAAATTAATGAAGAAGTCAAAAGAACTAACAGACAATTGTAGTAGTGACCTGTGCACCAAGTGTACCGAGCGGTATTGAACGTGATGCATCTTTTAGATTTCCGGAACGATTTGAACCGGCCATTATTCCTGAAGATTTTCAAATTTTTTACAAATTTCCATTTTAATCTGAATTAATTCCCTCATAAAAACACAACATTTTATATTAATAAGAAATTAATTTTGGAAATTTCCTTTTTTCGTTTTCAATATAATACTTTAATCGAGCACTTTTTCTTCACATTAATTAAATTTTAATATAAATTTTGAAAGTAAAACCTGTAGCAGATGGAAAGAAGACACCAATTAAGATCATAAATGAAGTTGCTTGATTAATATAAATATAAAATCCCTCATCAATAGTTTGATCAGATTTTTCACGTGAAAATTTTTCCTAAAAATTAAAAATACTAATTTCATTTAAACAATTACAAATTATTCGTTGAAATTTCCGATTAGGTTTTTTTTTTCCTTTAATAAAATTTTCTAATTTTTAGTAGCTATAAATAAAATAAAATAAAAATATAAAAAAAAGAAAGAAAGAAATGAATAATAACCTTTGTGAGTATATCACGTGGTTGCAAATATTTGCTCCATAGATTATCAAAAAATACGCCACTTGCAATACCTGGTATAGCTATCTGAAAATTTACAATTGTTATCAATTCTTAACATTTTATCAGATTTTAATTAGTTTAAACTTAATTTTATTAAATATGAAACATAAAATGAAACATAATGAAAGTAAGAAAGAAATATATCCTTAAACATATTAAGAAGGTGAAATTAGTGATCAAAAATCATATTGAAAAAAAAAAAAATCTTATAAAAAATTAATTTTTTTCCTTGAAATTTCTTATTTAACTACGATAGCGTTTTTTATTACATCAATCAATTTATTAATGAAAGAAAAAAAGTATTATGTAATGAGATAAAATTGAATCATTTTTATAAATTATTTCTATAAATTTTTTCATTTAATAAATGATTATTTAAATCTTTCTCATTTAATTTATTGATTATTTCAATATTTAATGAATTAAATTGCCTCTTGACGAATTGCTGGCCGTCCAATTTTTCTCCAATTTTGTATCTTAGTCATACGTTTGTAATATGTATCACAGAACATTGAATCATTTTTCATTTTACAAAAAAGTGGTTCTAATCCGGTAGCTGTGCAATTAGGCACATATTTATAATGCTCAACAAATGAAACCAAATCAACCGGACGATCACCTACCATGCAAAACCTGAAAAAAAACAAAATTATATTATAAGAAAAAGTTTTTTTTCCTTTTTTTTATCAGTGAAAAAATTAAGAATAAAATTGGTATGAATTAATAATTCCGATTAAATGAATAAATAGCACATAAATTTTGTAACTGGTTAATTAATTAATTGTTGATTAATCATTTTAAATGAATGATTAATTTGATCGAATATTATTTGTTAAAGTTCGGGCTATCATTTGTAACATTTAATTACTTCGGTTGTCATTCTACTCTTCTCAAATCTTTATATTTTGGTCTAAATTTTGTCACAATCCAGAAAAACAACTCGAATAAACGCAATTAATTTGTCAAACTAATAAGGAAACGAACCTAAAACAGAGTTATTTACAGCTTTTGCTCTCCACACCAAGGAAATGCTTAGCAAAATTAAAGTAGTTTAAAAAAGTTTCAATGGAAATATAATTTTTTAAAAATACTATTTCATAAAGTTCACTGATATTATTATTTTTTTTTTTTAACATTAAATTATGATGAAGTCATTTTTGATTCCGTTGTTGTAAAATTCAACATAAATATTATTATTTATAGAACTTAGAATCGTTTTACTTGAGATTATCAGATCCGTGAAATTTTAAAAATGCTCCAATGAATGTGCATACTATACACGTTAGTACCACAAGTACAGCTGGTAAAGCAAATTTATTTACTACCTGAAATAAATATTAAAAAAGAAAGATAATCTTCTTTTTCTTTCTCCGAGAGAAAAAATAGATAACTATACAAAAATAATTTAGGTTACACTTATTTATGTAAAACAGAAGTTAAATGAACTTTTGTAATATTTAACTTCTGTATTACAAATTGTAATTGTAATATTGTAAGTTATATAATATATTTAAGTTATATATAATATCAGCAAACAATATTTTCTTGAAATTAAATTTGAGGGAGAAAAAAAAAGGAGAAAACAATAAACCTTTACTCCAGCAAGCACTATCAATCCTAGAACAAGTAATAAGCCAGTACCCAAAACTCGGAAACAGTTGTAAATATCGTCAAAAATTTTTGCTGCAGGCACAAGATATAACTGAAATCATTGAAATAAATAACTGAATAAACAAAACAAATAAAATAAAATAAATTAATTAACTGAATAGACAAATAAATAAATTAAATAAATAAACATATATATACATATATATAATTCGTTAAATTATTCAGTAAAAAAAAGAAAAGAGATTTTATTACTTAATAGAACTAGCATTTGCTAAAAAGGTGTATTTTTGAAAACTGAATTTTGAAATTGCAATTTTTTGTGCAAAATTTATTTCAATGACCAATGGCCATTACAGTTATAATATCATATATAGATGATTAAATCGTTCTTATAAGTAAACATTACTTTTACATAAGCCATTTCAAAAATGTCCACAATTCTAGTATCAAATTTTCCTTCCTTCAATAACAATTAAATAATTAAGCTATTCTACAATTTAAACTACTTGATCTTTATTGGTTAACATATAACAATATTTTTTTTAAAATTTATTTCAAATAAGTCTTATCTATTATTTGATATTATCGAACTATTTATGCTTTCTTTAAATGCTATTATGATTGCAATATTTTTGATTAAATTTTTTTTTTTCTTTCTTGATTATAATACTAAAATTAATAGCATACAATTAATATTTCAATTGCACCAGTGATATACATTGAAGCAGCAACTGTTGTACCTAAATAAAATAGTATACCAACAGCACCACCAAGTTCTGGTCCAAGATTTCGAGAAATCATATAATATGGTCCACCACCAGGTACAACACCATTTGTTGCTATCGCTGATAATGATATTGATGTAAGAAATGTCTGTAATATATTATTTAGTTTCATTTTATGTATTATTTGGTCTCATTATTATCATTATCATCATTATTATTGTTGTTATTATTACCAAATTTTTCTTTGTCTTATTGTTTTTTAATTTTGTTTTCAAGCTTGATTTGTTATTAAATGCTTTTTAAAAAGCTACGTACTTTTTCCCTTTTTTTTAAAAAAGTTATCTTCTGCTCTATGCTTTTTAAGTGGCAGCCATAGCATAATGGTATAAAAGCAGTCTAAGTGATTATGAATGAAAATTTTGGTATTTCCTTTATTTTGTATATTTTTAATTTAAATTATTTTTTATTTCTTATTAAAAATTAGTGATTGTAGTACTGCTAAGATAACTCTTCGTAAATTATTATTTACTATTATTATTGCTAACACTACTAATTTTTTTCTTAATAAAATTGTAAAAATTTCTCTTACAAATATAAAACTTATAAAAGTTTTCATTATTAATAAGTTATCAAAAAAAAAAAAAAAAAAAGGAAAAAAAGTATTTGATAAATCATATCAATTAAATTTTATGATACATTAAAATAAAAATTTGAATAAATACAGATATAAAAAAATATATTTAGGTTAAAAAAACTTACCACAGAGCAACAAATTAGAACAACAAAAAATGCTTGTACAATACCAGCAGTTCCTATAATCCATGTTAAACGAATAAAAAATAATACACCAAAAATATTTTGCATACATGGTAGATAAACACCCATAATTGTACCCATTTGTGCCTAAAACTTATCAAAATTTTAAAAATAAAAAAGAAAATACAAAGTTTAATTAATCCTAAGTGACTGAATTAGTTATTAATTTGTAATACTTTATGTAAAATTGAATTTGTCTTTTCCTTTTTTTTTCGTGATAATATTTTTCTTATTCATTACTACATAAGAGATAAATATTCATATTTGTAATTCATTTATGTCTATAAGTTAAAAAGATAAAAATTAAATTAACCATTATAAAGTGGTCATTAGCTTATAAAATTTGATAACATTCAAATTTGTCACTTTTCCACTGTATATATAATTGGATATTTAAATAAATGATACAAAAATATGATTAAACACTATAAATTTTTCCAATATTTCTTTTCTTTCATTTTTATACTTTATTTAAAATAATAATTTACATACCTGTAAATTTCACTGATGAAAATTAATTATTTAAAGAACTGCCTTTACTTTAAAATATTTTTACTTTAAGAAATTTGGAAAAAGTCATTTCTTTTTTTTTCACAAAAATGTAGTAATATGTTATAATTTTTATTAATGTTATTGTCTTTTCTTTTTCCTTTCTTTTTTTTTGGAAAACAGAAACAGTCATTTAAAAGTTAAAAAAAAGAAAAACTTTTTTAACAGTTTTTTGAGCAACTTCCAATTCGGAAGAATTTGGCATGACTGCATTATATAATGATAATGACCGTAGCATTTGGCCAATTTTTTGTCCATGAGTGTGATATTCATCCTAAATAATTTTTTGTTAAAAAAAAAATCTGTTTAAACATTACAAAAGGGAATTATGTTTTTGTTTTTTTTAAGCATAAGATTTATTGTGTAATAGAGCAAATACTAATTTTATTTGCTAAAAAAATTTCAAAAAAAGAAAAACATTATTGGATATTTTTAAATAAGAATGAAGGAAAATAATTTTTGTTTAAGTAAATTTTCGTAGTATTTTTTTATACTTAAAAACAAAGTTGTGGAATGAATTTTTACATTGTATTGTTGAAAATTTTACAGAAATTTTCACCATACATTTCTCATCTAATAAAATTTATCACATTATTATTAAATGAATAAACTGAATTGTAAACAAATTTCAAATTAACCTCATAGAGTGCAAGAGTTGGGCTATGTTCAGCACATAATGGAATTGTTTCAATACCTCCATCTCCTAAAATAATTGATGAAATACTTAATTATTTTTGACTAAAATTTATTGCGCATTTTGATCGACTAAATTAAATAAATTACCATAAAGTTTTTAAAACGATAAAAAAATTTCTCCCAAAAATGCTTACTTCTATAAAATATATTGAGTTTATTCAAATATTTTAAAACTAGAAAAATGATATGCAAGAAATCTATTATATTATTATGTTGAATAAAATCTTCAATTCATAAACGAAATTATTCCGACAAATGATTACTAAAAGTATATATTAGATATATAATTAGATAAAAATAAGTAATAAAAAATCCTTGCAAACAATGCTGAAACTAAAATATAAATTATTTTGATCTACTGTTATACTTCTTTTCATTTGAAAAGAAAAGGAGCAACTTTCAAGTAATGTAATTTTTTTTTTTCTGTAGTGCACATTAATTTGCCAAGTTATTTATCAGTTGGTTTCAGTTAGAAATTTTGGTAAATAAAATGATAAAATTACGATTTAATGATGAAATGAAGTTTCTATGACTTAATTACGCAAATTTTGAAACAATCAAATATATAAATTTTTCATAAATTTTCAAGCAACAGAAAAAATTGAAATAAATTGGAATGGTCGGATAGCTTTTCAAAATATTTCATTAAATTTAAGTAACAAAAAAAAGCGTAATAAAAACATATGATTTTTCATTGCATGAATAAAATATATAATTTAGCACTTTTTTTCCTCTTTTTTTGCATAAAATAAAAAAAAAAATTAATTGCATGGAGTTTAACTTTTTTTTTATTTTTCAAAATAAAAAGTAATGATAAAAAAAGAATTAATAGATCAGATAGTTAACAAAGACCATAAAACAGTGAAAGAGTGTGTTTTTTTTCTCCTTTTCTTTTCTTTTCGTTTTTTTTCGGATGAAAATTGTACTTATAATCCAACTTGAAATTTTATAAATTGCTTCCTTCATTTAGCTCCGTTTCTTTCCTTCTTTCTGTTCTTATTTTTATATTTTCGACTTTTTTTAATATATATATATATATATATTATATATATATATTATATATATATATAAGATGCAAAAAAAAAAAAAAAAAACAAATATGATATGATTAAACAAACTGATAAAAGAAGAGAAGAGAAAAAAAAGAGAGAAAATTAAAAAATTAATTTCATCTTTATTTAATATTTCTTCCTCTCTTTTTTTTGAACATTAGATAAAATTTATTTCTTATTTTTTAAGAAATGATTATACAGGAAAAAATTATCTGATATTGATAATCACTGCTTTAATACAATTATTAATAAAATAAATTTGTTAAATACAAATAATTTAACTTAATTAATAGAAAAAAATTTATGGAATGAAAAACCAAAGCAAAACAAAATAAAAGCAAGAAAGTTATTTATTCGACTTTTTTTCATTAAGTTTAATGTGAAAAGAAAAAAAAAAAAAAAGATTGTTAATAAAAGATAATTTGAGTGATATTTCATAAACTCTTAATTTTTTTTTGTACAATTTCAATGAAATGTTGTCGTAATCAAAATTTTGCCCACATTTTTCATTTCTTATTAACATGAAATTTTTTGAAATAATATTTACAACCTATTGTTCGATCTAATAAAGTTAACAGTGTAGTATAAATTGTAATAGAATGCGTCATTATATTTGTTGTAGTTAGCAATTTTACGTTTAAGTGACGCTAGAATTTGACTGCTTTACTAACGCTAGATGAATGCTCATTGAATTGTAATTTTGAATGAATGAAATTAATCAAAGAAAATTTGTGTATGATAGAAAAGACAACAAAGAAACATTTTTGAATAAAGCAATAATTTTAAAAGATATTGAAAAAATTAAAAATTAATTCTAGAAAAATACATAATGAATAAAATTTATTTTTAGCTTAACAAAACAACATGTTAAAATAAATGACTGTTATAAACAAGTTCTATTTGTAGTTATTTCAAGTTTTTGTAATTATTCACGCCAACTTTCCCTACTTTTTTTTTTCTTTTAATTAAGAAAAAAGGAAAAAAAAAGAAAAAAAAAACTAGTTTGCAAAAGCTTGTTGTATGCAAATTAAAAAGCAAACCAAAATAATTAAAGTTAAAAAGTTACATAATTTTTTTCTTCTTTTCATTAATCCTAACAAATTTTATTCACGTTTTAAAAATTAATTCAAAGCAGAAAAAAATTTAATAAGGCAAAAAAGACATCATCATTATCTACACGTAGTCAATGACACATATAATACTCTTTAGAATATTCTAAATTAAATTAATTATTCTAATTCAAAGAAATTAAAAAAAAAAAACGTACGACGATATGATTTATCCGATTAAATATAAATCAGTAAATTAACACTGATTAAGAAAAAAAAAGAAAAAAAAGAGAAAAAAAGGTGTTTAAATAATTTTATAATTCTAAAGATTAAATTAATAAAATTAATATCATTCAAAAAAATTTTTTTCTTTTTCATTTTTCAACTATTTAATTTTATTTACTCCTTTCATAAATTTAAATTTTCATCTTTCACTGCTGTTTACATTTTCTTACAATACTATGCATCCCCTACCTTTCATTCACCTTTGTTATTTTCTTTTTCTTCTCTTTGATCTTTTTTTTATTTTATAAAAACAAAATATTTATATGCTAAACGAAAAAGAAAATGAAAAAAAGAATATGAAATGCACATTCTACAATGACAACTTATAATTTGAAAGAAGAAAAAAGAAAGTAAAAGAGTTAGACATTCTGTTTTTACATATTTCATATTCAGCAAATAGGAAAATGTAAATTATAGACATTTTTATTTAGAAATTCATTTCAATACTTCTTTTAGCAAAAGTTTCTTATTCTAGCTTCTGCATTTCATTCCATCTTTTCAATATTATATGTATTAGAATTTTAAAGTGAATCATTCTATTATTATTAACAAATAGGAATTCGATAATATATACTATGTCGAAATAAGAAAAGAAAAAAAAGAGAAAGCAATAAACATGCAATTTATTTTATTTCATTTTTTCTTTAATTTAATATCAAAAGTACGAAGACAAAAAATTTTATTGAAATTTAGAAAAATTCAAAAAGTAAGAAAAGAAAAAGCAGCAAAAACAAAAACGAAAAAAAAATAAAAGGGAAAAATGATTGATTAAAAAAGGAAAAATTTTTGGGAAACGTAAGTAAAGTCCCTCGAAAAAAAAAAAAATTTTTTTTTGAAAGCATTATTGCATATTTTTGTTGAATTGAAATCATGATTGAAATGATGTGACTGCTTTTATTCAAATTGGGCGAGAATTTAATTTGATGGAAGGAGAAAAAAATCAAAGTGGCTTGCTTTTATGAAATTTCGGATAGACAGCGAAAATTTTTTTTCCGTTAAATATTTGCTTCACATTTTACACTGATTTAATTTGTTGTTGATGATTGAGATGAAACTGATGATTTAAAAATAAAATTCTTTAACAAAAAAAAAAAAAAATCTAGAAATATTTGGACCAAAAAGAAGAGAAAATAGTTGATTAATTAGCTAATTAATTAATTACAACGAAATTATTATTATGAAAGTATACATTTTTAAATGGTTAATATTTTCATAGCAAACAATATTATTGCTTTATATTACTACCTATTTTGAATAAATTATAACGAAAAATAAAAAAAAAAAAAACCAGAGTTTCTAAAATAAAATTGAAATTTTTAACTGAGTATTTTATATAACTTACCTATATTTCTCTTACATAGAATATTTACAAAACTCTTTTTCATTTGTCTGTTTGAAACAAATATTAGTAATAATTAAAAAAAGAAAAAACTACAGAGCAACAGATTAATGCCATCCACCAGGATATTTTTTTTCTGAAAAGAAAACTGTCAGTTGTCAAAATGACAATAACTGAATATGAGATTATTTGTTACTTTTTTTTTTCAAATCCCTTCCGCCCATATTCCCTCCCTCTCTCTCGCCTTTTTTCCACCTTTAGGACATTCTTGTCAAATCTGTCTTTTCCCCTTAAAAAGAAAAAATCGATTATTAAAAAAAAGAAAAACTTATTTACCATATCTGTTGATTTCATCGCTTCCCTGCTTTTCTTTACAAGCACATATGCTAACATCATTGAATTTCTCCTATTGATTAATTAAGAAGAGATTTTTATTGCTCCCAATTAATTTTTAATTTTTCTGTTTAAAGAAAAACAAATAAAATTTTAAAATATACCTCTAGAGATCAGAATTAAAAAAAAAAATAAAAATAAAAATTTTCTTTCTACGAAAAAAAAAATTGTTATTAGAAATCATTACAGTGCAATTTATTCAGTATATTATATACCATTCATTTATCATATAAAGAATTAAATTGAAAAAAAAAAATACTAAAAAAAGAAAGGAAAAAAGAATCCTTTTAATGTGCAAAGCTTTCAATATTAAAAAAAAAAAGTAAAGAAAAAGGAAAAGAAAAAAAAAGAGCCTAAGGATATTTGAAATAGAAAATATTTTACTCAAATTTATGCAACTTTTTTTCTATCATTTTCAAAGAAAAAAAACTTCTTCAATTCGAAAAATATTTTCAATATTGTTGGAAAATTTATTTCCATCTTTTTACTAAAAGCTATGAAAAAAAAGGGCTCATCAAATGTTTCTAAAGTTAAACCTTATTCATTTTTTTTTCTGGAAGCTTCTTAAAACAAATTTTGCTAATACACAGTTTACAATATTATTATTACTATTGTCTACTTTTATTATTACTAATTCATTACTAATCAATTAATAAATAACAAAAGGTTGAAAAAACAAATTTCTATGTAATTTTAATGATATATTTGATATTTTTCTTCATCCTGTCACATTATTTCTCCAACTCAGTTCTTCCATAATTAATAAAGTCAAATTTCTTCACTCAATCCTTTTCTTTTTTTTTTTGATGTTATCTAAGTTGAAGTGCTAATAATGTCATGTTAAATTTACTGCCTTCAAGAAGAAAAGAAAGGATAGCTTAAATCAAATGAAAGATGGGAAGAAAAAAAAGCAAGCGGGAGAAAGAAAGGGAGGAAAAGAGAGAGAGAAAAGGGGGAAGGAGAAAAGCCGAGAAAAAAAAGAAAAGAAGAAAGCCTAAGACTTGGCCGAGATAATGAATGCAATAAAGTGGGTATTTCATCGCGAAAAGACTCATTGCATATTTATCTTTGAGCAAAGAGGGAGAGAAAAAGAGGGAAGAAAAGAAAAGACAAAAAGGAAAAAAAACTTCACCCCACAATTTTCATTTGAATGGTAAACACTTATCAGACATCTGTCATAAAATATTTGAAAGATGTAAGAAGGAAGGAAAGGATAAAAATGAGCTACTTAAACAGGGAGACAGAGCGATGAATAGAGGGAGAGAATAAGAGTGAAAGGTGAAAAAAGAAAACAAGAAATGGATTAAATAAATCACATTTGACATTAAAAATCCTCTTTCCTAATTTATTTTATTTTATTTCCTTTATTTAAAAATGCTTGAAAAGATATTCAATTACATAGCAAATTCTGGGAAATTTATAAAATTTAACATTTTGAAATTTTTACAGCAAAAAAAAAGAACGAAGAAACAATGAAAACAATGTTCAAAACGTTTATTTCCCTTTCATTTCTTTTTCGTTCTTTTTTTTTTTCCTTTTTTGCACCAAAATTAAATTTCACCGATAAGTTGTAAAAAGAATAAGGAAAGAATAAATAGTTGATAAAGGGAAAAAAAGAATAAAAATGAATGGGTAAAAAATAGCTATTGTGAATGACAGTACAACTTCTCATCATATTATGCTTTTTTTTTTCTCTCTCTCTCTTTTTTTTTCATAAAGAAAAGAAAAAAAAAAGTGAAATTGCGCCAAAATTTCAATTTCCCTCTTTTTTTCCCATATATATATATATATATATTTTATTTTTCTGAGGTTTTTTTTTTTTTTTTATTTATTTATCGAAAATAATTA